CGCTGCATCGACAATATTTTTTGTAGCTTTTTGGTCAAAATAAAGATTTGTATAAAATATATATTTAAAAATTGAGACTTTGATTAATGCATCTAAATTAGAACGATCAAACCACTTTAAGGGGTCACAGTACCTTTGGAACAATTTTTTTAAATAAAGGTATAATCATTCATTTTGTGGATGCTTTACTGCTCATTTAACTTATAATTTATCTTCAAAAAATAATTAAACTGTTTAAATTTTTTTAAATTTCTTAAAAAGTTGAAAAAATTTAAAATTTTTAAATCCCTAAGGCTTTTTTATTTTAACATATTTTTAAAAAAAATATTTCCTTAGTGCTTACAATATTCCTCTTAACAATTTTGTACATTCATTTGTTGATATATCAATTAGAATATTTTTTATAGATTATTTTGTGAAAAAGTAGAAAAACAGGATAAAAATTCCTGTTAGGTATATATAACATGCTGTAAAAATTGTAATACCGCATAAAATGCTTATTCCATGCACACTTTGAATAAGTGTATTATACTTAAGATAAAAAAGTTTACTTCAAAGCTTTATCCTAAATAGGAAAAATTCCTTAGGATTTAATTAAAATTAAAACACGAAATTATCATCTATGAGAAAAAGCACTTTAAATTCTGACTGCTGAGCAAGTTTCTGTATTAGGACAATCTAAAATCTTTTATAACTTTTTTAAAAATGTAGATAGAGAGATGATTTTTCTTCAGTGAATTTTAAATAGTTTGAAGTTTTATTATAATCAATAAAAAAATGCGGTATTTTTGTCATTTTTTGGGTACTGTGACCCCTTAATACGAATGTTCCCTAAGTTTGCAAAAATCATGAATTGTATTTTATTATTCTTTATAATTTTAACTTTTTTAATGTAGTTTAATAAGCTGAATGAAGGCTATGAAATATTTAATGTTTTTACAAACGAATTATTATTTTAAAAAAATAATAATAACGTCACGTGAAATATGAATTGAATCAATGGAAAATTCAACCGTTAACCGTAATTTTCTCAGAACTTTGGTGCTGGTTTCAAATTCTCCGTGACGTTGGACAAATCCAATAACACGATAAGTATAAGATTAGGCTTCAAGTATAAGCGAAAAACCCTGCATTTAATATGCACAAGTGTTTGTGTAGCTTTACTGATGTCATATTGGAAAATAAAATAAAATCAAAACATTTTTATCAATTTGAGATAACAAAGAAAAATGTTACAAGTCCTTGATCAAGTCATCTATTTAAAATATCTCACTATTTTGCTACGCAGGTAGCTCGTTTAAAATCTAAATATCTTGTTTCCAAGCGTATTTCACAAAATATATTCTGTAATTTCCAAAACATGAAACAGTCATTCAAAGTAGAGCTTTAAAAGGAAAGGACCATTTATGAGAGTCCTTGATCTCATCATATAATTTTGCCATACAAAAAGAATTTACCACCAACATTAAGAAACTGTTTAAAATCATAATTATTTTAATTTATTTTTTGTTCTATTTAATTATTTAATTTTGTAAAGAAAGAAAAATGTGTGCATTTTAAAGGGCAAAGCTTTTTATTGAATTGTTTATTGATTTTTTCTTGTAAAGAAAAAAATTCATAGGCATATGAAAAGCAAAGCCTTACTCATCAATATATGCATGTAAGACATGCCGGACCTAAGACATAAGAGCCTATAACACAGGACATAAGAGCCTTTGATACTATCATATAATTTTACCATACAAAAAGAATTTACTGACAACAATAAGAAACTGTTTAAAATCATAATTATTTTTTTATTTCATTGTTTATTTATTCATATATCTGTATATTTAATTATTTATTTTTATTATCTATTTAGTCATTTATTTATTTTTGCACAGAAAAAGTATATATATGTATAAAAGGCAAAGCCTCACTCATCAATATACATATTGGACAATTTATAAGAGACCTTGATCCAAAATATGATTTTACCATGCAAAAAGAATTTACCGACAACAATAAGAAACTGTTTAAAAGCATATTTATTTATTTACTTACTTATTTATTTTTATTTATTTATTTATTCATTTTTGTACAGAAATTTTTTTTTTCATATAAAAGGTAAAACCTTATTCATCACTATAATGATCGCACTTCCCATGAAGTTCGAAAGTTAAAATTTGGGACTATATGTTCTTTATGAGATAAAAAGAAAAACTTAAAAAATGTTCATTTCGATATTTTGTAATTATTTGGGTAATTACAGCTTTCGTACGCACCTGGAAAAAATTAATAACTGGCATCAAATTCGTGTTATAAGGAATCTGAAAATTTTCTAACATAATAAAATTTTTTTACGACGATAGAAATTTCAAACCTGGACCATGCATTCATTATGCGGGAAAAAGAAAAAATTTAATTTCGATGTTTGTAAATAACGAGGTAAATAATTTACCTGAAATTAACAGCAATTCTGAATTACACGTCTTTACAAAGATAAAAGGGTCAAATTTACATTGTGTGTTTATTATGAGACAAATAGTAAAACTAAAAATGCTTTATTTCGACATTTAACTATCTAATTGAGTAGGGGTAATTAGACTAATTGGCAATTATGTTAAAAAATCTAATCAACGACTTACCACCATGCGTTTGGGGCGACATAGCCGACTACGGCTGAGGTACCATTTAACAGAAGAATGTGGAATTCATGTAGGTGGACGACTATGAGGTATTGTGAAGCGGTGAGCTTGGGATGATCAACTGGCCACCGAAAGTGAGTCCGAGAAAGACTTCTAATCCTCAGATTTGTACCTAACAAAATCATCTGGGGTCCATATAGACCTCTGCGCGTCCTGCTAGGTTAAAATACAAATACTGAGGATTCAGGGAAATGCTGTTAGCATGAAGCTGCAATGGATAAAAGAAATAAAGACAGAAAGAAGGGAATTCAAGTTAAGTAATGTTTTTCTTCTCAAAATTGAAGCATGGAAGAATTTAGTACTATATATATATATATANATAGATATATATATATATATATATATAAATTCTTCCATGCTTCAATTTTTGTTTCACATTTTTCTTTGTGGTACTAGTGTTGCTATTTAACCGTATCTTACAACACTACTACACTAAAAAAAATTAACTAAAACAAATCCTGAAAACAAAACTTGATTTTAAACAATTTAGATTATTTAACTAATATGCTAAATATAATAAAAAGTATTTAAGTAATTCAAATTGTGAGATCGGTAGGAGCTTTGTACACATTGCACATACGACCAAATCGAGAATAACTCAAGGCTTTTGCGCAACAGATTTTTTTTTCTGGTAGGTACTTTATTTACGTCTCACTTAAATTTTCTTCAATGATTCCATGTGGTATATGTATAGATATGTCTTTTATTATATGGACATAGTTATAGTTTATTGTGTGTCGTATGCATATAGATATCTGTAAATTTTTTGATGCACCTTCGCAATTTCAAATTCCCAAGTCTTGCTTTTAAACGTAGCAAAATAAAATGTAGCGTTAAGTTTAACACTCAAAACAATGGCAGCGGCTGCGCCTTTGCGTTATTTTAAGGGAAAAATCGAAGAAATAATTATTATTGAAAAATATATCATTTGAATTGAAAAAAATTATAAATCTTTGTTTCTTAAAACTGTTTATTTATAAATTGAATAAATACTGCGCGTAATCATTTCTGAATGTAACCAACAAAAAAAAATTAATAAAATATGATTTAAATTATATTGTGTAAAATGTAGGTAAATGAAAAAAAGATTTTAACCTATATACAATGTTATCTTTCATTTCCGTAAACATTGGCTTTAAATTAAAAATTAATAAATAAAACAGAAAATTTGCAACTTAGGAACTTTCTTTTTTTTTAAATTAAGCCTATTCCTAAAAATAAACGAAAAAGTAGAGGAAATCTGGGTTTAATTAATTAATTTATTATGCATATAGCTGACCAGATGGCCGAGTGGTTAGCGGCCTGACTGCGGAGCCGATGGCCACGGGTTCGAATTCTGCTCAGGGCATGGATATTTCTTTCTCTCACTCTCTGTGTTTTATGTCCTTTCTCCTTTGTGTGTATGATTGTGCGAATTTGACCCGCCCTATAAACGGGTTTGTGGTTGTGTGACGTGGGCGACGCTGCTCCACCGCCGTGGCTTCGCCACAGGTGCCCACTGGGTAACGAGAAGAGAGAAGCAGTTTTGGCATTCCTGAGAGCAATGGGTCTTAGTCCCAAGTGCCCGGCATTAAAAAAAATTATGCATATATATATATATATGTGTGTGTGTGTGTGTGTGTGTGTGTGTGTGTGTGTGTGTGTGTGCGCGCGTGTGCGCGTGTGTGTCTGTGGTGAATGTTGAAATATTATATATGTTTGTTTCACGTTAAACATTAAACTAGTAAGATGCCAAATTCAAGCTTCATTATCGCCGCATTTTGTGATTGAGAGGTTCACACGCCAGATCCACCCCATTTTTAAAGAATCGTTTTCCTCAAAATAATGAAATTTCATCAGTTGTCTTAACATTAAAAAATCCATTGGCTTTTATATTTGGAAACGTAGCCTTCACATAAATAACAGCTAAGCGACGTTGAAATTTTGTATGTGCGAAGAATCACATTTTCTGCTGTAAAATTCAAATGAAAATTTCACTGAAAAGAGTGATTAAAATTAAAAAGAGATAACTTCACTAACTTAATTGAAAAGAAGAATGTTCTGTTTTTACCTTCCTATATTCTAACACCCACCAGACTTGGGGAGATCCCTCGCAGCGGCAGATAAAGGACCATTCTCGCTGGAGACGATTTTTATGCTGCGAAGAAATTCCCGGCAGTGAAAACATTCCGAAGGATCCCTGAAAATTCTCTGTGGGCTTGCTTTGTTGTGGTCAAGAACACGTGTGAAATTTTACGTTGTTTTTATTTTAATTTTTTCAAAGATTTAGTCGTTTTTTTTCCATTCAAATCGCTCGGCCACCGTAGCCATTACATGTATATATTACGTAAATATTGATGGCATTAAGTAGATTTTGTTTGTTTACTCTGGCCCCCTCTCCCCGTCTTGCGCCGTAGTGTGTAGATTTGTAGGGTTATCGAGTGTGTCATATTTTGAATTAGCTATTCATATCGCTAATCACTCTTGTTTTTGAATGCTATGGAATTTCTAAACTTGTTTTAAAAAATGTTACTTTAAAATTGGCTGAATTCTAGATCCTGACTGAAGTTATATATTTAGATCTGTTAGACTTTCAAAAAGCTATTATTTCGATTTTCTCAGGTATGACAAAATGAAGATGTAACAATTACAATAAATATCCCTTTGTCTTAAGAAAACTTGTTAGCTTATTACGTTCGCTTGGTTATGTTATCTTATATTGATTAATATATATATATATATCAGATTGTAAAAAAGAATGAGCTGTTTCGCTTTATGTATACTACTGTACAATAATAGAAGAGATACTTTCAGTTTTTGGTATTTTTTTCATATTTCTCAAAAAATACTTCAATAATTATTTTACAATTTTAGATGTATTCAGGTCATGCAATTTCTCATTCGTTGAAGTTTCAATAAAGTTTAAAGATTTGAGGAATTTGCAATAAATTCCAAACGAAAATTATATTTTTGAACTCTATACCGACAAAAATAGTAATAATCTTGTAACTTGTATCAATTACTTTGTGTTTTTATATGCCGTTACTGCACAAAATCTCGTAAATTTAGCGTAAATATTCATGAAAATGTGGACATTTTAATAAAAATAACTAAATTGTTTGCCTTACGTTTTTTACTATAATAGTTGAAATATTCAATAGAATTGAATAAAACTTTTAGAGTTATTTTTAATTAATAATAAACATATAATTTAAAACTTTGAAAGAAACATGTTAAAAATTGTGCAAGCATGATATGAGCATTTAAAATAAACTGCACATACATGGAAAACATTAAAAATTTTTTTTAATAATTTCGTTTTGTATTGTATATGGTAACTTATGAAAAAAGTCTAATTTAAATATTTTGAAAAAGAGCTATGAATGGTAAGAGGTTTTCCCCAAATTTAATTTTGTATTACAAAATAAAATTTTATGGCAAATGATGATACACTGTAATGATTGTTCGTACAACAAAATATTATGGTATAAGGAAATAAAACGTTTTGGTTATTAATTAAAAATTACTCATAAATATTTTTTCTAATTTTATTTAAAATTTCTACAGTCAAAGTAAGAAAATGTTTTTAAAAAATATTATTTTTTTCTTTTAAAAATGTTCATATTTCAATGAATATTAAAGCGAGGTTTACGAAATTTTATGCTGTAATTACATGTAATCAAAGTAATTTATACTAGTAACAAGCTTGTTTCAATTTTTCTTGGCATATGATGTTCTAAAACACTCATTTTCATTTGTAATTTATTGTTGAACCCAATTAAAAATTATGAAAAAAAAAAACTTTTTTTTTTAACATCATTCACTTATACTAAGTATGAAAGCAGGAGTCTGTTTAGAAGAAATTTGGGTCCGTTAACGGACCCTTCACAAATTATCATTTCATAATTGATAATTGTCCCGCAGTGGACTGATCGTTAAGACACGGTTTCCAGCAGATCACCGAAGTCAAGCATCATTGGCTGTGGTCAGTGTGCGGGTGGGTGACCACTTGGATCAGTCTGCGTAGGGACCGAGGGTGTGCGGTATTGATCCTCGTTAAACTGTTCTACCGTAAAGTGTTCGACTTCGCGTGCAGGTCATCGGGCTACCGCGGTGGGGTGGCATTGATGGCATGTCTTCGGAGCATCCTCAGGGATGTTTCCCAGACCATCACCAATAGCCCATTGTGCAGCTCTAGTGCGACGTAAATGAACTACAACATAAAAACGGACCCTTCACAAAATAATTTATTTTTTAATCTGACCATCACAAGTTTGTTTATCTTCATAATTGTTTTGTCAATTGATTTAGTTAAGTTTCCCTTAGTTTAAATTCCAAATGTAGTATTCTAAGAAAATATTTCTACTTTTGCAAACATCGTGTGCACATTCTTATTAATATTAAATCATTTTTTTTGTAAATAAATAATGGATCAATTTATATTTATTCATAAAATTAATTAATAGAATATTATGCAAATAAAAATTCATTTCTGGTAATTTTTTAAATAAAATATTATAAATTTAAGAATTGTTTAAGTTTTCTTAATGCGTAACACTTAAAAAGTGATGCATTACTAAGTTGTGTTATTTAAAATATGTCAATTGAAATTAATTAAAAATGTGAGTGATTTTATTTCGATTATTCATCCGAAATGAATATTGTGTGTTGAGCAGTATAGGCTAAATACCAAATATTTGTGTGTTGTATCTCTAGTTTAGTAGCAGCAATTGCTGAGCAGAATCTTGTATCTATTTACAATTTAAAAACTTCTTAAAAAGATTTTTAGCAATTTTTGCTATAACTGGACCTTATTTTCACAAAAGCAGGATCCTGGTAGAAAGAATGTTACTTAACGCTTATTTTATATTCTCAAATTATGAATAGTTTTTTCTCAATTTTGCAAAAACTAGACCTTTCACAAAATGTCTGGACCACAATTTTTAATATTTTTTTTTTAAAAAATGACATTTTGGTTATTAATTAAAAATTACACTAAAAGTTCGTCTAATTTACCGTAATAAAATGCTATGGAAAAAGGTAGTTTTCTTTTATAAAAATGTCCGTATTTTCATGAATATTTAAGCAAGGTTCACAAAATTTCTTGCAGTAATAGTGAAGATAGATTATTTTTAAGAAACTGATAAGAATTAAGAAAGGTGTCTAATTTTACCTATTTATTATATTATCTGCTTTAGTAAGTTGACTTAGCATTGATTTTGTCTGGATAATCATATTCAGCCAAATTGAAGACTATTTAGCTGACCAAATGTTTTTTAATATTTGGCCATTGAGTAGTTCATTATATAAATAATTTTCCTCTCTATACAACACAAATGTAGCTTAGTTCCATCAAGAAGTCCTCCACAAAGGAAATTTTCTCTCAATACTTGATACAGCAGTTCTGAATTTTGTTCAAAATTACAAGGCAAATGAGTTGAACATTGGCAACAAACTCAAAATTGGGTTGGCTGTTTAACGACAATTATAAAATAAAAAAAATATTTGTACAAAACAATTTTTCTCAGAAACTTTTTTTTTGTCTTGAGCTTTGTAATGAAATACATTATAGGCAAAATTAAATGAATAAATTAAACTCAGTAAATAAATTTGCTTTTTTTTTTAATGTATCTATAGTTTGAATGTAAATAATTCTGAATTAAGAACTAATTTGTTTAGTCATATGCATATTCATTATGATATATTCTTGTACTTATTTCAGATAGTAAGTGACCTTAATAATCATGCAAGGCTTCTCAGCCATCAAATTGCTTGCAGAGAAGCAGGCATTTCTGGATGACCTTAGACCAAAATATATTATGTCATCGCTTTTGAGCAATAAAATAATAACTTATGAAGAGAGTAAAGAAATAATGAATGCCGTAAGTATAATGACATCCTTGACTAATGAGAAAAGTTATATTTCATTTGAACTTATAAATCTGTTATTTATTTATTTATTTTTTAATATATGTGCTGTAACAAAAATTTAATTTTCACCACTATCACAGGCTCTGTTTTATTTTAATTTCATTCTGGTAATGAAACTGTCATTACTATCCAATCCTCATAATTGTGGCACAATCATCTTTATTTACTAGATATAAGACATAAATTCTTAATAATTATCTTTGTTTCTCGTTGCAAAACAGAGATTTTATTGATAACAGGCTCTGTTTCATTATAATTTTATTTTGGTAATGAGACTCTCATTACTATCCAATCCTCATAATTGTGTCACAATCATCTTTGTTTACTAGAAATAAGACATAAATTCTTAATAATTATCTTTGTTTCTCGTTGCAAAACAGAGATTTTATTGATAACAGGCTCTGTTTTATTATAATTTTATTCTGGTGATGAGACTCTCATTACTATCCAATCCTCATAATTGTGTCTCAATCATCTTTGTTTACTAGAAATAAGACATAAATTCTTAATAATTATCTTTGTTTCTTGTTGCAAAACAGAGATTTTATTGCTCAACAACATTTATTCGAATGTTACCTATGACTCATTAGCATTTGTCTACTTATTTTTTTGTAATTTTAAATTGAGCTTAGAAAGAATACAATTGTTTATCAACAGAGAACTTATCTTGGACTACTTTTTGAATATTCATGTTAAACATCACTCTTAATTTTTTTTTCTTCTATACTATTCTTATTTGTCTACTTTAACATCTTTTTGATCCCTGTTAATGAAAGGAGTTGATTAGTAAATTTTTCTTGCTAATTTTGCAATTACAAATAAATTTCAGAAGTGCTGTTGGCCGACATTTAAAAGCCGGAATAAGCTTATAAAAAGAGATCAATGCTCAGATGCTGCAGTTTTTACCATTCTTTTTTAAAATATTTAATTATTTCTTAGAATATTTGTCTTTGATGCTTTGTCTTAAAAGCAAGCTGTTTGAGGATGCAATATACAGTGAAACCTCCATTAAAGACCTCCACCTCTGTGTAGCGACCTCTTCTATTTGCGACCACTTTTGAGAGACACAAAATTTTTTCCTTAGACTTCATGTTGTAGAAAACCTTTAGGAGAGACCATCAAAACTTCTCCCAGTGCAGTGACTGGGCAAGTCTCTACATTAAATGAGGAAAAGGTCAAATAAAGAAACACGAAAAAATATCAAAACAAAAGATATTATCAAAAAGAATAAGTAGATTTAAATGTATTTAAAATATTTGTGAGTGGCTCTTATTTAGAGAATTCTTTTAAATGATCTCTGAAGTAGATTGACCACCTCATGTTGCAGTTAGAGTGTATTAAGACTATGCGATCAATGATTTAGTTTTAGAGTTTAAAGTTAAATTAGGAAATAAAGTTATTTTAGAAAAAATTAATCTTTTTAAACAAATAAACCTCTTCTCGTTTTTTAAAGCTATCTAATTTTTATGGATCTTAAACAAAAAACATAATTGTTTATTTATTTAAAATAGTTCTATAATTCATAATTGGAAATATTGTTTTACATATAATTTTATCAGTGAAGGTCATTTTTATTGATGCTAAGTTTTATTCATCTTTCTGGTTTTTATGATGCAAACACAAGTGGCGTTTCTGCACCAAGAAATTAGCACTGGGTAAAGTTACAATTTTTTGCAAAAAAACATGTACCTTCGATAACATTTTGAAATGAATGAAGGTAACCCATAAGAATGACAAACCTCCATCATTGACCATTTTGTTGTGGAACTAAGAGTGGTCACTCCTCAGAAGTTTCACTGTTTACAGTAATTCTTATCAAAAGTAAGGCTCCAAATTAATCCTGATCCAAGTTCACCTAAATCATATTTGGATTGATATGAAATAATAAACAACCGTCCCTCAGGGCAAACACTGTCAATAAAGGGATAATATGTTGATTTGGTTATTTAATATGTTCGTTTCTTGTTTTGTAATGTGTTCCAGTTGCAAAATCTTTGATTTGTTAAACTTTGGATATGGTAATTTTTGGCAGTCTGTTTTTTCTTTTTTTTTTTCTTTTAAAGTTTAACTAACAAGCACTCTTTTAGAATAAAAATCTTGAAGGATAATTAAGTTATCTTCCTATTCTTGCAACAAAAAATAAATTGTTCAAGTAAAAAGTGAGAAAAAGTTTGCCAAGATTAAAAAAAAAAAAAAAAAAAAAAAAACCCACAATTGGANTAAAAAAAAAAAAAAAAAATCAAACTTTTTTGAACAAATTGTAATTTTAAAAAAAAGAAAAAAAGAATGTTGAATTTATCAATAAAAATAGTTCTTTTAGTACATCGAATTTCAACTCTGTAGCTGTATATTTCTGGGTGGTCTGCATGGTATATTTCATTACATGTTTAACCATTAATAATTCTTAAACTTATATGAGCTGTTAAATATTCTGAGAAATACTACATCATTTTTCTCATATTCATCCGTCAAAAATAGTTTTTATTTTCCTGAAAAAAATTACCCAAATCGTAATGATGCAAGGAACACTTAAAAAAATGTCTTTTTATAAGCTTTCACCAGGAAACCTATATTTTAATGAGCTAAATGGCTTCTACTCATGTCACTTCATGTCAAATTATGTCATGTCATTTGCATCTGAGTTGTATCTTTTTTTGAAAAATACATTTTTTTGCCTTGTATTAATTCAATATTTTACATTATATTCCAGGATAAAATAACTGCACAAGTTGAAAAACTTTTTGAATTTTTAGTTAAAAAAACATCTGATGCCATACACAAATTTATAAAAGTACTGAAAAAGGATGAAGAGGGATGTGAACCATACCCATGGTTGGCAGAAAGATTAGAAGTGCACTTTAACCAGCTAACTAATAACCTAAATGAAAGGTTAGCAAACGGAGGCGTGCCATTTCAAGTTAACTATTACCTTTCACGTGAAAAGAAAGTTGAAAGAGTTCGCACAGAATTAAAGCAAGCAGTTATAAAAGCGAAGCAAAGTGAAAATCGTCATTGGGTTGTTATGTTTGGCCCTATTGGATCTGGAAAAACCGTTTTAGCAGCTGAAGCTCTAAGGAACAATGAGTTGTTAGAAAACGAGTTTCCTGATGGTATTTTTTGGATTCAAGTTGGTCATCTTGATAGTGAAGACGAAGTTAAACTTAAAGTTAAGAAAATGTACAAGTTTTTAGATGCAGAACCTCATATTAAACTAAGTGATTCTTATGGAAATGAGCATCTGGCTAATGAGAGTTTGTTCAACATGACCTTAGATTTAAGGAGGAAAATATCAAAACTCCCCAAAATTCTTCTAATTCTGGATGATGTTAGATGTTCCAGAATTATTAAGGCATTAGATGTGGGCTGTCCTATTTTAGTGACTACAATTTATAAAGGTGTTGTAGATGATGTTTCTTCATATGTTACGTACATAAATTGTCTGGATGATTTTGTAGAAACTGAAATCAAAGAATTATTTTCACTTCATGTCAAATGCAAACCTGAAGAGCTGCCTGATGTAGTTGATGAAATTTGTATAAAATGTAATGGTTAGTATTTATCGTATTTAAAGTTTTTAATAATAACTTTTTATTTTTGTCTTTATAGTGTATTTAAAAATCTAGTTTATGATGAAATTACTGAACTCATGATTTTTAAATATTGTTTTCTTTTAAAATTATTATTACTATTCTGATTTATTTTATTATTTATTTATTTTATCTTATCTTTTTCAGCAAATTTTTAACTATTTGCTCTCCAAGCAATTACTATTTTTTTTTTTTCAAATTTGCTGTTGGTTCTGTGTTTGCTTCAATTACTTTACACAATGATTTCAATTACTTTAGCAATTGATGATTGGATTTTTACTTAGTGCATAATAAGAATAATGTTGATAAGAATAATGTTGAGTTTTAAAAAATAAAAGACACGGCACAAATCTCAATTTTTCTGTCAGCACGAACAATAAATTTTCGGCATAACAGATTGTTATTAATTTTCTGTATTAAATTTGTCTGAATACAGAAAGTAGAGCTCCTCATTGTTTCAAAGGCTTCAAAACCTTTATCAATATCATTGCTTAGCTTCAATAATTTCTTAGGGTTGATAGCATCACAAATTTCAACAATTTAATAATATCGAACATAATAAGACATCTGGAATTTTTTTTCTTCTTCTCAATCGAATTTTTAAAAAAAATATATAGAATTTCTTAATAGACATGAGAATCTGCTAGTTTTAAAAAATAATGTAATCGGGTAATAGAATAGCATTAGAATAGAATTTTAAGAATAGCATTTTCGGTGGAACCTTTAAAATGAGGTGATGCATTCGGGAAAACAAAAAATGCTGGAACAATGGATTAAAGCTCAATTGTATATCTGTAAAAAGTAGTAAATGATTATAGATTCTTTCAGGACTGCAGGATATTTCCAATTGCGCGAATGAGGTTTGGGGAAAATTCAGGCAGGATTGTGGGAATTTTTGGCCTAATTAAAAAATGTTGCTACCCAAATTTTTAATGTAAAAAAATTAATTGCTTAAAAAATTTTTGGTGTAAAAAAATGGGAAGAAAAGTAATTCTTGAAGAAAAAATTTTTACAAGTAAAAGAGTCTAGGACTACCTAGATGGACGAAAGTGAAAGAATATTTTCTATGATGTTAAATGTAACACAAATACCTTTCAATTACAATTTATTTAACTTCCTAAAGTTTATGAGCAGGACCTTAAATTTAGTTTTGTTAGTAAATAATATTTCAAAATATTTTCAGTTCCATTTTAAACACATAGGCTAGTTTCAGGGTTGGGTTTTTGACGTCAAAAAGTGGTTTTTGACATGACAAGGGTATAATACTGGTTTAAACCGTCAAAAATGTCAAAAACTGAAGTTTGCCAAGAAAATATATAAACTTCAAAACTACCAACAGTTGCCATGCATTATATTGAAATTTAATTATACTATAGGTAATCAGCAGGTTTTAAAATATTTTTTAATTAAAATTAAGGTAAAATAACAGATTTAAAATCTCAGAAATTTATATTCAAATGCATGTGCAGAAAAATTTTGCACAAAATTTTTTTAAATATTTATATTTTGAAAAAAAAATTTTTTTTTTTGATACTTAAGAAAATTAAAAGTTTATTACTATGCATTTTTGACATATAAGGAACATATAACTAATATTTATAAGGAACTTACAAGTTATGTTGTATAAATACAAACTTGATATAAGATACAAGTGTATAAAAAATTTTTTTTAATGTTATACCGAATATCTTTATTATCCAGTATGTTAATTTGAATTTAAAAGTAGTTATATTTGTGAATAATGATAAATATAATTCATATTGTTTATTATATTTATTTATAATTATTACACTTATCATTTTAAAACAATTTTTATCTCTTAATTTTTTTTTCTCCACTTGTATTAAGAATACAAATAATGCATATCTTGAAAGCAAGAAGTAATTATTCAACAGCTGAATATTTAGATATTCAACAAAACTATATAGTATTCAGCAAAATGAAATTCACAAGTATTTGGATAAACTAAATTTTCAGCATAGTAAATGAATAGGCTGAATATACTGTAAATCGACACTAACTACTCTGTGTATTTAACAGAAAGCACTTAAATTTGTATTGTCTTATGTTAAAAAGATTATTAAGAAGATTTAAAAGAATATTAAAAAGATTTTTCTTTAAAAGATGTCTAATGTACAAAACTGCTAATGTTTATCTTTAAAAATGTCTAATTTTTAGTATAATCTATACTATACACTAAATTTGGTTATAAATAAATTTCTTAATAATATCACTGCAGATTTTCAATAACACATGAAAATGAATACATAATATTACAAAAGATGTGAGCTTTCAAAAGTACAAGATTTTGGTTACTATTCAAAATATAAGTGTTTCTTCAAAATTTTAAATTTATTTTTTCTAGAACATATTTAGAAACACTATCCTTTATAAAAAAAATATATAAATTTTATTAATTAAATTTCACATATGAATATAGGTTTTCGACATTTTTGACAGTGAGGTTTTTGACATGATGGATTAAACCATGGTTTAAACTGTCAAAAACTGTCACATGTCAAAAACCTGCCAAACCTGGCTAGTTTATTCAAGAATTCAATGTTTAAAAATCGGGCATGCCTGAAATTTATGCTATTGCTTATGAAAATCAGGAAAATTTGACAAAATCATTCAAAAAATAATCATGCAAAAGTCAGGGAATTTTTATTTATGAGTGTTCTGACTGCTTGAAAAAAATCTTTTATTTGTGAAAAAAATCACAAAATTTGATTTAAAGAAACAGAAATTTTAACCTTTTAGGATCACCAATGGTTGCTAGTCTGATTGGAAATGTGATGCGAGATTTCAATGATGAGGCAAGATGGATGAATCTGAATGAGAAACTTGCTGAGAGTGTCAACAAAGCTGTTCGTAAGAGGCGTATCTCTAGAGATGAGTGGGCGGAAAAGAAAAATTTGATTAGCTTTTGCATAAATGAGCTTGAAAAATCTTATTCAGATCTAAAGAAATATTTCTTAGATTTTGCAATATTTTACAGAGATTTCTCTGTTCCTCATACAGTAAGTAAAAAAAATTTCTCACTGAATGCGAAAAATTTGCATGCGAATTTTTCGCACGCAAATGAGAACCTGATTGGTGAAAATTTTTCACCTGTGAAAAAACTCCTATCAAGTTCTCATTTGTATTCACTTTTGTTTTGTTTTTGCCTACAATAAAAATTGCGTGTTAAGATTTTGGAAGGTCAAAATTAGTTTTTGATTTGACGTTGGAGAGGTGTTAAAAGTGCACCAAAACCTATGAATTTGAAAATAGTTAAAATAGCACTTGGATCTAATGCGATCCAATATAAGTTTTTCAATTTTTTCTTAGTTTTACTGAAATAAAATTTCTGCAAAATCTAGCTATGACTGCAGAGTTTTGTACAGAAAGATTTTGACAGAATAGTAAAAATCAAGGGTTTTACTGTTTTGTCAAAATCTTTCTGATCTATCTAAACTTCATCCATAGATTTTACATGATTATACCAAGAAGGCAAAAACCTTGCTAGCACTTTGCACTATTTATGTTGTTTTTTTTTTTAAATTTGTTCATTTATTTATTTATTATTATTGTTATAATTTTAAATGAAGTAACAAAGTTTGTAATTAAAACTTTTTTGCATGATTTTTTTTTCTTGTCTAAACTAAAGATTTTAGACTAAATTATTAGCTATATCTGCCATGCTCTTAGTTGAAAGAGCACAAAACTTGATGATAATTTAAATTTCTTAAAAAATGTAACTTATCTCTTTTTGAAATATCAAATAAATATTTTCTGAGTAGTAATAAAGATAAGAAAATTTCATTTTATATTGTTTTAAATTTATATTATTTTTGCATAAATAAGTAAATTTTTATTGAAGTGAGTTTTTTTACTGTTTTAATTTTTTTAACAAAAAAAAATAAAGGTTATTTGTTGTTAAATATTTTTGTAGCTTCAACTTCTTTAGCAGGATACATGTATTATTTTGTAATAAATTTTAAACTTTATTTTCTGTCTTACTTAAAAGTAAATTAATTTTATTTAATCTTATTTAACTTTGTGTTGAGTAATTCTCTGAAAATAGTAAAGTCGAACCCAAATATAGGGAACTGTCTGCAGATTCAGCAATAAGTCCACTATAGATGATCGTTAAATATATCTAAATTCTTGACGAAATTACTTTTTAGTGTATGACAAATATATTGTTGGAAATAGTGATTACGATAGTTCATAATTTATTTATAGATTTTTAACTGGTTAAATATAAATTAAATATTTTTTAAAAAAAAGTTAATTTTTACATTCTATGGAAGAAATTAGTAACTTTTTATTGACTACAACTTGATTTTAAGTACAATTCAGAAATAGTAATAAGTCAAAAAATTGTATAGTTCGGTAAGTTTGGTTAGTCGTTGTTATTTGCTAAATATTGTTAGTAAAGCAGATTTTATTATGTGCTAAATAAAATTTTATAAAAAATATTGTGTCACTAAAATTGAAATGATGCAGATGCTTTTTGATAATTCTGTAAATTTTCTACATAACTGAACGTAGCTAAAATTTAACTAAACAAATTTAAAATAATTTGCTTCTTATTTTAATAACATAACAATCACATAATGTATTTATAACTTATTTGTAATGTAGTGTTACTTTTCAATTTATTTTATTATGCTTTGTTAAATTCTTCATAAAAAGTTTTACTGATACCAGTGTTTATAAGTTTGCAATTATGAGCGATGATCATGCAATAATTAGATTTGACCTGATGTGTCTTATTGTGAAGAAATTCCATCATTTGCAATCACAACTACTGCAAATCTAAAGTTAGAGGAATTTTTAAAAAAAAATAAAATAGCCCTGAGGAAGTAACGCAAATCTGAGGTCCAGTATGAAAGAACTACCAATTTTTCAACTGTCCACTATAAGTATATAAAATAACATTAGTTAGATGGTAGTTCAGAAGCGACATTTGAAAAAGTTCACAATATTGCAAGTTTGTTATAGTGAGTTTTGACTGTATTTTAAAATAAATTTCATAAGCCATACACTAAAGTGAATTCTATTTATTTAAGGTTCTTACTCTTCTTTGGGAAGGCTGTATGAGTCCATTTGAGATTCAAGATTTTATGCAAGAATTATATTGCAAGTCTCTCGTTCAGATTGAAAAGGGAGAAAATGGTGAGTGTTCCTACAAACTCCAGAGCATTTGTCTTGAGGTCTTAGTGGACATGTGCACAAAAGAAGAGGTAAGTGTCTAGTGTTAAAAGTTTTAATAAATTCTTTCTATTTTCTTATTTTTAGAGAAGTCTATTTTCTTATTTTTAAAAAAATGTATAATTGCATTGCAGCTGGCATTTTTGTGTTTAAGGCATTGCAATTACAGCAAACGCTTGACTCTCCTGAATCCAGGAAAATTGGCAAATTCCGAATCGCAAAAAATTCTACATACTTTAGCTTTTTATATCTAGTTTTTATTTTTTTTTTATTAATGATCATGGGAAATCTGACCTTTATAAATGTAAGAATATAGGACTAAGTCTTTTTTTTTTACACCGCTTTGTTAGTGATTATAAAAGTTTGGTTAATAAATGTAACAAGTGCAGAAAGATTATATCAAAGAACATATTAAAAAAAACCAAGTATTAATGAGGCACTATTAAAAAAAATTTTTTTAAATTTGCAATCAAATTAATTTGAATACAAGCCCATAAAAATTTACAAGCAAATTTGTGAAGGTTATTATGAACAATTTATCTGCTTTGTTGAATTGTAAATAAGTTATTCATATCTATGCTATTTTATATTCATATTGCAAATTATCTTCGTTATAAAGAAAATTGTGTTTTGCATACTATGCTAACTTTTTTATTGGGATGCTTTTCTCCTCCTTGGCCAAACTCGGCGATTAGAAGGAGTAAACTGAATATGAGAGAAATGCTTTATGCTTTTTTATTATTAAATGCTATATGATTAAAAATGCTTTTAATCGTCTTTGCTAATTTTCCAGAAGTGTCACCCATCTGGAAAACCTTGAATACCTAGAATTATCAGGGAATTTTTTTTGATAAAACCTGGAAAAATCGGAGAATTTTAAAGAAAAACTGAGCTATTTTTTCCCGATTTTCTTAATTTTACTATTTTACCATCCATTATAACTACTTTTCCTAGACAGAAATTTATCACCAAAAGGTCGAAATATCTCCAAATTAGCAATACTCTGACATCAAAATTTGCTCCGGTATAACTCTGTTAAACTAGATAAAAACACCACATGAAACTCTTCCATGGAGACTATTACTTCTTTGAGATTATGCAGTTTGGGAAAGGTGAAGAATGTGGTGGGGTGAAAGAAGGGGTTGGGATATTTGCTCCTGCCTGTAAGAGCAGAGGATTTTCTTTTTTGTCTTCTTTGTGGACCGAATCTATTTATCGTTAAGTTAGTTACGATGTATTGTAGGCATTTTTTTCTTTTGGCAAAATGGTTTAAAAAGTTTTAGTAATTCTAATTTTATAAAGTTCTCCAAAACATTTTTGGTGATAATTTTATAGCAATTTTTCTGGAAGATTTTGTACTCCCATCCAATGAAATTGTTGAATTGTTTTATCTTCATAAAGCCAATCAATCGCACATTTTTTTAATTTCCTTTTGTCCTTTTCAAACATATATTAGTTAAAAATAAGGCTCTTTTAAGCTTCAACTATATATTGCTAACATTAAATTATATTCTTTTGTTTTCGTTCTGCACTCAACGTGTACAGGTCTCTAGTTGAAAAACAATTAACAAATCTAAACTAAAATAAGAATGCGGATAGATTAGAATTTTAAAATATTTTGATTTCAACTAAAAAGAAAGAATGAAATTCGAAGAATTTTATATACTTTTTTTAATGGAATACACAACAAAAAATTTGACAGTTTTACATTTGCGACATTCCTTTTTAAATACTTAATATCTCTGTAAATAGCAGTGCTATTTCAAACAAGCAACATTATTTACACATTTGACTTTTGATATTGGTTTAAAGAAAATATGATCAATGAATTTTGCAAAGAGGATAGATATGGAGAAAACACAAATACATTGAAATAGCTCTATGTTAGTGAATGTAAAACAGAATAGCAAAGCAAAGATAAGACATCGATGCAAAGATATTAATGTATGATTGCTTGGGATTATCTTCTTTTGCTGAATAAAAATATATTAAACTATACTTGTCCGAGATTTTTTGGATCATTCTATATTTGCCATTTGGTACACTTTGTGCAAAAACTACTTAATATTGAAGTAACACATTGAAATATTATACATTAAATAAAAGCAATATATTTTACAAGCTAAACATATTATTTTCTCCATATGTATCTTAATTTTTTTTTAAATTAATGTTGCACCCAATTATTAAAATTTTGAAAAGGGAAAAGCAAAATCTGGCTAGGTTGTTAAAATAAATCTAAATCTAATTTTTTCATGATTATATACTAAAAAGAAAACAATTTAAATAAAATACTTTAGAATAATGACACGTTTCTTGGGGATTAAATACTCATCCTATACTTCATAAGGAAAGAAACATGTTTACCTAGAAATTTTAAAACTTATACCTGGAAATCCTGGAAAAATCAGGGAAATTTAAAACCTAATTTGAGTGGTCACCCTGTTTTCACAAATGAATTGGTGTGAGCTATTTATATATCCTCTTTCCCTTCAAAGAAAGTAAAATATATAGTTTGTTTAGCCATTAGTATGTGAGAATTATTGCAGTCATACTAGAATTTATCTAGATTTTTTTCCCCTCACAAGATTATACCCAGACAATTGTGCTGCCAGCATTTTTTATAATTATTATTATTATTAGCTTGTTTTAGATTTTTGAAACATTTATTTCGAAGAAGGAAATTTTTTCGTCCATTGGATTTTGCCAGTTTTTACAAAATTTCAGTAAATTCTGAAATAATCTAAAAACAGACCTATATTATCCTATTATAAATCTAAAATTACTAACCAAATAATTTTTATTACTTTAAAGTTTTAAGAAAACATCTTGCCAAGTGCAAAAAAATGATCAAGTATCATTGCTCCCAATCTAATAAAACAAACATATCTCACCTTTTTTTCTTCTTTTTTTTTTAGGTATCATGTTGTCAAATATTATTAAAGCATCAAAAGCTTGTTAAGAACAAACATTGTTAAGAAAAAAAAATAACATTTTTAGAAAATAGGGGGAAATGGCTCATAAGTAATATTGTTATGTTTAAAGTATTGTAATTAAGCTAACATAAAAAAGCAGAGTTCTAGTAAACAAGTATTTGAGTATATTTTAATTTTTTAGTAAAGGGGTATATTTATAGAATCAAATGTCAGAAAACTGAATATTCTGACTGACAATTGTGATACTGAATATACTGACATTTGTCAGTATCCAGCCAAAATACTGTTTAGTGTATATTTAGTAGCATTGCTGATTTATTTAATAACTTCAATTGTTTTGTTAATTTCATTTTATTAATGAGTTAAGTTTTTATTGTTAAATCCAAAATTGAAATAATATGTATACTAATTTTATGCATTCATCTGTGTTGTACTGAGTAATAATGACCTATTTTTCATTTGTAGATAATAGAACGACACCAGATATTTGTGAACAAAATAATGAATAAGTGCTTAATTGATGATACAATTGATCTTTCATTGTTAGATGATAAAGACTACATACCTTACACTCTTGGTTATCATTTATATATGGCTAAGAGGTATGATTTGCTAGAAAAAGTTTATTTTGACTTGAATTTTCTGGAACAGAAAATTCGTAGATTCGATCCTGTTGATTTATTTCTGGATTTTCGAAATTATGGAGAATTCTTTCAAAATGTGAGTTTGTATTTTTTTTTTTTTTCGAAAAGTTTATAACAATTTAAAATATATTAATATTTAAAAAAAGTTAAACATTCATATAATTTCTTTTCTTTTATCTAAAATTTACAAGCTATGATTATTCATATTTCAAGATGCTAAGACCAACTTATGGGCTAAATTAAACATACTGATTTAAATGAGTTCTTATTTGTGCTAACTTTCAAGAGCTGAATTTTTTCTTTTTCTGGGAGGAAAAGTTTAGGAACTGGGAGAAAATTTATTATATTTTATTTATGAAATTAAATTTCTTAGAACAAATATTGATTAGTGCAACCTGAAAGTTTCATAGCTAGATACATTTCATATGCCTCATTTAGAAGATATATACTCTTTTAAATCTTAGATATTACGCGCCTATTTACTCAGAGGTGATAATATTGTGAAGGGATTGACTACTAGGACTTAAATAACAGGGGTGACCCCAAATATGCTAATTAATTAGTGCAGAGGATATTATATGTTACAAAACCAGACACAAAAATGTACTTTCTCTGAATAAACATACCTTTTATTTTGATTTTAGATTCTCAAAATATCACATTTAGCCGCAATCTGGAAAATATGGACTGAATGACTTGTTTAAGTTGAGCAGTCAAATGTTTGAACTCCTTAATGTTAATTTTATGTATTTCCCCATATCTCAATAACTTTTTGAGTGAATCGGAACATTTTCACACACAATTAAAAAATTCGTCTACCCAAAAATAATTAAATGCAAAAAAAATTGTTTTTACAAATTTTTATTTATTTAATAACAGTAAAAAGAAATAAATAAATTTAATTGTGAGGTATACAAATTTTTACATAATTTTAAAGAGTATAATTTAATGTCACGAAATTTTAACTAAATCGATTGAATAATTCCTGAGAAGTCTAATTTTAAAAGTATTTTTGGGTCTGAATTTGTAACTCTAAATATCGTATGCATGTCTTATCTGCATTAATTAAATAGCATATTTGTGGCCACCCCTTTAAAGATCTGATCACTAGATCAAAAGTTTTTCATATAGATTTTATATTACCACTGTATTTGAAATTTTTGTTTCCTCTAACTTGAAACTTTTTCTCAATAAAATTTCTAGTTTTTGCTTTTTCATTTATTTATTTTAGAATTTTCTTTTCTTTTAAATACAGTCTATTTTATATTTTTTCCTTTTCCTACTCTAAGTAATAGATTCAGTTACTAAAAAGAGCACTTTTTTTTTTTGCAGAAAAGAGCACAGTTTTTATTTTAGGTTAATTATTGTAATGTGAATCTTTTCATCTATAGCATACTTTTTAAGTTCTGTTGTTTTGCTTTGCCCCTTACTTCCCAAATCAAAAATTATCTATTTAGTAAGGTAATATTAAATGATATGAAATTGGCAAATGGGAAATTTTTTCGGGGGGGGGGGGCACTGTGCTATGTACGCCTGTATATGGTTTTTGTTCATCTGATTCTAAATTTTTGTTAAAATAATAAAATTGTATAGGCTTTTAAATTGTGTAATTTTTTTAGTGGGCAGCCACTTAAATTTCAAAGTTTGCTTTTATAAAAGTTTTGAAAAATTAATATTTTTTCAAACAATCCTTATATATTATTATTATTAAGCATCATATATTATAAGCTTATTTATACAAATAAATTTCTTTAAAATATCATTGATGTGAAATTTGAATTTTTCTTTATTTTCAGAAAAATGACGTTGAGATGTTTAAATCATTTGTACATCGCTATGCTGATAAAATACGTTTTATAGAAAGTGACATTGTTCAGTTAGCTCTTTTTGAACCAAATAATTCTGCTGTTTATCAGAAAGCTAAAATAATAGCACAGAAAAAAGGCAAATCTTATTATGATTGGTGGTAAGTAGGTGTACTTTCATATTATTTTGTTGTTGTGATTTAAACATTGTATATCATCTATGATAAAGATATTTTAATATGTATCTATATTGCATATAAATATTTTACTTAAGTACTAAAGGACTTTGCTTCTGCTCATTATCACTGTTGAGAATATTTAGACAGTTTTAACATGCCAAATTTTGTAAACAAATCTGAGCGGAGAAGGAATTCTTTAGTGTTTAAATCTCTCCGATGATGATGAAAGTAAAAATAAAAAAATTTCCTGTATTATTTTTGATTAGATCTCTAAGATATTATTTCTCAAATCCTTTTTCAATATTAAAGTATTTTTCTTTTTTCAATATTTACTTTCAGTAATAAAGAAGAAAATAAAATGAACTTATTTCATTTCTGTTCCATGCCAGTAGAGAAATTGTCACACACAACTTACAATTCCAATTCTTCCCTCATGGCTGTTGTTGGAGACAAAGCTCTTGTAAGTAATACTACTTTCATTGTAATTAGCAGTTTACTTTTATTGTAATCGACAAATATGTCATGATATAATTAACAATTTATTCTTTAAACAGTTTTGTATTTTATGCTTTTTATTTATTTTGTACTACTTGAAAACCAAGTGCTATTCAGGCTAATAAAATAAACATAATGAATTTAAACTATGTATTTGCAATAATGTTTCAAATAATGTTTTCAAATTTAGTATTTTTCGTTCTATTTTCAATTAAAAAATTTGGCAATGACAAAACAGAGCAACATGTTACTTCATGTTAACATGTTAAAAATTTTATTAATTTAAGCAATATCTTTTCTTAAGAAGATGCTATATTGCAGAAGATACACTTCAAGTCAATTTCTCTTTCACTTCCATGAGTAATTTAAGGTACAGAAAAAGTGAGTTAAGGTTACCATAAAGTTTCAATTGCTGATTGCCATAATTTAAATTTTTTTTTTTTTTTTTTGGAAAATGCAAACAAATTATGGCAGGATTACTTATAATTAAGCAGTGAAGCTAATTCTACAATTTAATTAAGATAATCTTGTTGTCTAAATATTTATTTTGTTCATATTTGTTTAATCCATAGTATGGAACTTTCTTTCTAAGTTGCATGTGTCAAATTATTGCTATCTGTCTAACGATACAGTGGTTGAATTGGAACCTAATTAATTAATATAACAGAGCATCATCTATCAGAAATACTTATCACATAACTACCCCTACCCCTGATAAACTCTCAGTTCATTGCAAATTAAACACTTCAAAATATTAAATAAAGTTTCATTTCCAAATGTGAAGTAGCAATATTTTTAAAAAGTTCAATATTTTCATATTTTGAAAGAAAATTTCAGCATATGAAACTTCATGATTTACTATAGGTTTATCTGAACTTATTTTTTCTATACCTTAAATTTTGAATTACTGATGGAAATTAAGCATAATCTGCAATGGAAAATTAATCTGGCTGTATCACATGTTCTTAAATATTTTTAATTATAGGAACATTTCAACTAAACAAACTTATGGCAGTAACATTTCTTTGTCTTCAAATAATCATCGTAATGACTATTTATATCAAGTATTTAATGCTTTCAAATGGGAACAATTATTTATTATTAATGTATTAATTCAAAAATGAACTTTTGACATTTAACTCTCATTAGTTTCAATTTGATTTTTATGGATTGATTTAATTGGTCTATTTTTTTTCAATCTTATCTCAGTCTCATTTTTTGAAAACAAACTAATCAAATTTTAAATTATTCTTCTTAATTTAATTTTTTTTAGATAATATCTACTGATACTTTTGAGGTTGTGCAAGAGCTATGTGGCCATTCAAGTACTGTAAACTATTGTGCTTTTGATCATAAAAACCAGAAAATAGTTACTGCATCTGATGATAAGACTGTTAAAATCTTTACCATCAGTCCTATTGCAGGTAAATAAATTTTTTTTTAAATTTCTGAATTGCTAAAAATAGAGTTCAATAAAAGCTGTACTGATGCTAAATAACAGAAAATTTATTGTGTTGTGGTTATCTAGTCAAAAATATCTTTCAAATTTTGATGGTTTTGAAATGTTTCTATTGTTTTTTTTTATATATAAATTGGATTTCTATGCTTAAAATAAGTAACGTCAGTAGTCAATGCTCAATTAGTACCACTCGAATTTCTAATATATTATTACATAATATTATGCATTCAGAGCAATATTGCCAAATACCGCAGGGTTGATGATGAGCCTCAAAACAGTGAGCTGGTGAAGGCACACATTAATTACAACGTATATCATGGATATCTGTTATAATTAATGTGTGTTATAACATATATTAATTATAACATTTATATATATATATATCAGTGGCAAGTTTTCAAATATGGACAAAGCTCTAAATGCATAATTTTTCTTTTTTTAAAGAATAAATTTTATGAATCAAAATAAAGTCATAATGTGATTTTGTCCTTTTGTTTAATTAGTACATTTGTTTACATTTTGTTTAATTAGTTTTATTTTGAAAAGACTAAAAGTTAATTATTGTTTTTACAAAGTTGGTACAGATGCTATAAATTTATAATAATAGTTGTAAATTTGCATTGTAGAAATTCAAAATATTCAAATTCACTTTATTGCACTGGTTGGAATTATTTTTGCAGTTTTAACAACAGCAATTATTACAAATATAGTTAACTACTGCTACAACTAATTTTTTCTTTAATTGTAGTAATTACAAGCTATTTTTGAAATGTAGTTACATCTTCACTACTTTTTTTAGAAAACTGTAAACAATTATTATACATATTTAATAATTATAAATAAAAATGTGTAAAATTGCAATTTATCATCCAATCTGTTAATTTGTTTAATTATTGAAATAAAATTACTAAAACAATCATCTTATAAAAAATACTACAGTAGAGAACCAATTATCCGGGATGCTCGGAACCATCGCTATCCCAGATGTCTGAATTTCCCGGTTTTCTGGATCGACCAAAAAGTGTCATTAATCGATGTTTTATCGAACCCGAATTACAAGGAAAAAGTGTAATGCATAAAGTAACAGAAAAAAGAAAGGTACTCTTAACTTTAAAAAGAAAAAATAATAATATTTAAAAGAATAAAAAAATTTGCAAGTTTAGACAAGAAAAACAAGATTAAAAAATACAAAATTCTCGTATTTATTTTCTAAAAATAATTACAATTCCTAAATTAACTAATATAAACAAAACCAAAGGTTAAATAACGCGATATATTTCATACCTAATTATACGGGGGAATTGATAAAATAAAAGGAAAACTTATTAATCTAAATAAAAGCACTTGAAAATTATCGAACCGAAACGATAGTTAAAAAAAGCACTAGCATAAATATTGAAACCCGGAACTAGGCAAGATCAACGGAATTTTAAAAAAAAAAACCTAATGATAAAATTTATGAGTAAAAAGAATTAATTTATTGAGTGCAAAATTTATTGTGAAAAAAAAAATCAAACGTAGTGGAATCAGAAAAACAACTTAAAATAATCCTATGTTTAAATTAATAAACAATTCTCCTCTTATTATTTTTTTTGTTGATAAAAACTCGATATTTAATTACAGCAGATGTGATTCCACATCAATAAAAATGATGCCGCACTTGAATTTATTCAGAAGAAAAAGATTTTATTTTTATTAATCGATGTCAAATAGATAAATATATTTTTCTTTTTCATCTTCTGTTCACTGATATGCATGCAATGCATTCCCCCCCCCTCGTAAATTAAACAGAAAACGAAATCAGCATGCCACACCCTTGAGCTTGATTGACGGCCTAAAGGAGAAAATAAAACATTCCTCCCTTCCCTGCCTTCAAGGTCACGGAGGAAATGACGTTTCTCTGGGTAAACGGGGAAAAAAATTCTCCCCTTCCTTACATTTTCCTCTACTCAGCTTCAAGGATGAGTTCATTTCCGCTTTTTTTTTTCATAATCGTTCTAGTTAAAAATGGCGGGAAAACCGATCAAAAATTTTCCCGGTTATCGGGATACCGGATAAATGGTTCTCTACTGTACTACTAAAAAATACTACAGTTTGAAAATTCAATTTCTGAGGAACTATTAAAGTGATTCACTTAAAATTTTGTATTTTGCCACGTAAAATTACATGATATTACTTTTTAAAATATTTTCTTAGGCTTCCAGGGCAAGAAAAGAGCGTCCTTAAAATCCAACCCTAGTCAAGAAAATGGTATAGAATCTCCTGTTGATAAATCAGTGTACACATTTTCGCATCATAAATCCAGAGTCCTTTGCTGTGCTTTCTCAAACAATGACACTCACATAATCTCAAGTGATGAAGGTGGATTGATATTTGTAAGTCATATCATATCTTGAAATATTTTATTAATTTCTACAAGGGACTCAATTATTTACCTAAATACATATGTTCTTTCTAGGTATGGGAATTATTATCTAGTGAGGCTGGATACATCCTGAATCGTAAACATAAAATCGTTGCTGACTCTAGTTGCAAGTTTGTTGCATTTAGCCCAGATGATTCTGTGTTTGCTGCAACTGTCGGAGATACTATTAATCTTTATAATTTTGAGACTGGCCACTTAACCAAAGCTTTATCTCATGATGGCATATTCGTGCAACAGTTCTGTTTCATTGACCAAGAATTTCTTATATCTGCACATGACAATACCTTATCAAAATGGAATCTTTCTTCATCAGAAAGGGTCGAAATTAATGCCGGTTGGAAGAGGAATGATTTGATTGTTAGCTGTTGTATATGTGCCAATGGCACCTTGTTGGCTTGTGGCACATCATCTGCTCAAGTTATAATAATAAATCTCCGTTTGCAAAATGTTGTTGGCTTTTTGCTTGGCCACTGTGATGAGGTTGTCTCTGTTTCATTTTCCGGAGTTGATTTTAGGCTGCTGACTGGATCTTTAACCCGGTATATCATTTATGATACTTCAACAATCAGAGATACACCTTTAATTGCCTTTGAAAACAATTTAAGTGTTCAGAAGAAAGCTGAAGAAATATTTATTGCTTCATCTGATTATTTCAATCGTGTAGAGGTTAGTTACCATTTTATTTTTTCAATATTTCACTTATTTATTTTTAAAATTATTGTACAGTAGTAAACATTATCAGATCAAAAATATTAAATTTTGTCTAACTTTGGATAACTAAGCGCTCGTCTAGTGGACTACCCACTTTTGCCAGTTTTAAAAATTGGAGATGTTGCTATAAAGCTTCAGTATTGCAGTTTTCACAGATTGTAATTAAATTTCATTTCTGTATATTTTATTTTAAAAAAAGTAAGAGTATTTATATTGAACCCTGCTATTCTTAAACCATATCATCGTTAGGCATTAATAAATGAAAATATGAAAATAAACATATTTTAAACTCATAGTCTGTTAATCAAATTATTATTTACTGAGCAACATTGAAATTAAGTTTAATTATCTAAAGTAAAAAAAAAAGTTTCTAACAGATTGTTAATGTTGTTTAGCATTAGCATAGAATCAGTTGAGTTAAAAAACAACAATATTAAAAAAAAGAATTGCGAAAAAAGTTCTGGCAGATTTTGGTTACTGCTTAATATAGGATAACAGCCAACTTTGTTTTTTTTTTTTTGTTTTTTTACGAAAGAATTTTTTTTTTCAGTAGTAGCAAAGTTTATACTAAGTTATTTTTGGTTTTATAAATTTGATTTAAAATTATTTTAACCACTGTAATTAACTATTTCAAATGTGTTTGGTAGCAATGATAATGACTGTGGTGTTAAGTGACAGTGAAATCAAAAGCAATTTTACTGAACTAAAATGTTTTCATTCTACTTTTTTACCATTTCATGAAAAAATCTTTACCAAAACATATGAAAGTTCACACTGCAATAGTATAGAGTGTGTAGAACAGGGAACATTATTAGATTAAATTATAGAAATATATGAATAAAAATTTTTTACATTTATAATATTATATAGAATTTAAAAAACTTTTTTTATAAGATAAAAATTAAAAAAAAATTGAAAATAATTTTTTAAAAAATTTGAAAAATTTTATCTTTGTAATTTAATGTTGTATGCAATACACAAGGTGCTCCTTTACTACTGCCTTTAATGTTTATTTTTATTATTTTATTTTAAATAACGGTATACTTCAAAACAAATCAAATGACATGTGATTAAATCAGTAATTTAATAATGCAGTTTAAAGTGAAAGAAAATACAGTAGATTCTATTTTCTTTTTCCCTAAATCTGTTTAATACTTGTGCATACAAAAAAAAGTTGCTATTGTCTTAAAATATGCAGTTGAAGTTTTTAAAAGCAAAATAAAATTTGTATTAGCTGTAAATATCCCCATTGATGCTATTGTTGCTTTAGCAGGGTTCCCACGGTACTTGAAAAACCTTTAAAAGTCCTTGAATTTGGTTTAAAAAAATCAGGGCCCTGTAAAGTCCTTGAATTCTGCCATAGGGTACTTGAAAAGTACTTGATTTTTTAGAAATTAAAATACTACTAATTTTTCTTGCNTTTTTTAAATCTTATTCTTTTGTGTTTCCTTATTTGACCTTTACTGCGCTTGGTGCAGATGTTTGCCCGGTCGCTGGGAAAAGTTTTAATGGTCTCTCCTAAAGGTTTTCTGCAATACAAAGTCAGCGGAAAAAAATTTTGTGCCTCCCAAAAGTGATCGTAAATAGAAGTGGTCGCTACATAGAGGTGGTCTTTCCTGGAGGTTTCACTGTACCATAAAATGTGCTTTGCACCATCTTTTGACATTTTTTTAGTTGATAAAATTTTATTTTTAATGATAGATTAAATTTCATAAAATTTGTATTCCGTGACTCTAAGCCACTGTTTTGTACAGTGTATCCGCGCACCTGAAAAGTCTTGAAAAATCATGGAAAGTCATGAATTTTAGTATTGAACTAAATTTGTCATGAAATATCATGATTTTTACTATGTTTTTGAAAAAATCATGGAAAGTCATAGATTTAGGTCTCCGAAAAATGTAATTTTTAAAATGGAATCCCCCCCCCATTTCACCCTGTTCTAAATATCTGAATTCCTAGCAAAATCACCACTCAGTCATATTTTATTGGAATATGAAATGATTTTATCATGTTCTTTAAAAATTATGGTGTTCTTTCAAAAAATGAAAGAAAAAACATCATTTCTAGAGGGAATCTTGTAAACTCTCTTCTGTGATTTAAGAATTTTTATTATTAATTTTTTTTAATTTTATCAATTTAAAATTTTAGTTGAAGCAATTCAGTCAGTGAGGATTTTTTTTATTCCGAAATAGAACAGAAAAATCAGGAGTATTTCTTTCCTTTCTGATGAACAAGAAAAATATCTTTAGAATATAATTCTGCAGGAAAATAAATTATTTGCTTTTGTACTTTTTCTGCTATTTTATTGTTTCAACTCTTTCTTTACTCTGTTTTTTAAATTTAAAATCTATAAATATGAAGATGCAGAGTATAAGTTTTGATTATACCTATCATTTCGAATAATGTTGTTATAATGCTTTTTTAAAATTGTTGCATTTTTGTTGGAGATGATAGTAACTTCGTTAAGTCATGAAAAATTCTTGGAATTAGTCATGGAAAATCATGAATTTGAAAATCTAAAATGTAGCAGATACCCTGTTTATAATCAAATTTTTACATTTAGGTTTTACTGCTAATGAATAAAATTTGATTCTACAGGTTTCATTGATTATGAATAAGCATCGTGATTCACATTAAACTAATTCTTGATATACAGATCGGAATTCATATACAAGGTTCTACGAATTGTGGTTTAACTGAAAGTGATTAAGGAATCACATATCGATTTGCAAATTACTCATCAGAATTCATAATAATGTATTTTATAAATCACACATGATTCCCATTAAGTGATTTATCAATCACATATCATGATTTCAATTAAAATTATTTCTGAAATATATAACGTGATGCGCATTTAAGTAATTTCAGAATCATGCCTCACAATTCTCATTCTAGTAGTTTACAAATCACATTGCGATTCATAAAAGAGAAATTTAAGAATTACTGCCCACAATTCTCATCAAAATGATTTAAGGATTACACATAGCTGTTCTATATTAAGAACATTTCGAATCACAAATTGCAATTTACATCATAATGATCACTATTCACATGAAAACTATTAGCTAATCACACAGAATTCACATTAAAGTGATTTATGTATCTCACATTTTGATTTATGTCTTGTTAGTTCGTGCGTTTTCTATCATTTGCTATTCATATTATTCCGATTTTAAAAAAAATTTGCCACAATTCCATTTTAATGTACAAATCACACGCTGTTCTATGTGATTTACGCAATCTTTGAGACTTCACCTTTCTTATAATTTTGATTCACATATAGTATATCTAGATTCGTATAAATGCAATTAAAAAATTACACTTAGTGAAAATTAGGTATATTCACTAAATTTTAAAATTCACGCTAATGTAATATGCATTATACATTCATTCAGTTTCATTAATTCTAATTCACTTCATTAAATTTTTCATAACGTTTCGCTGATGCTAGTTTTAAATGTTAGCTAGTATCCTATGTCAATTGGAGTTTTTTTTTTTTTGGAATTTTTTAAAGTGATTTGAAACAGCTATCTAACTATCAACCATTTGTATTATTAGCTGATAAATTTAATAAATAATTTTTTTTTGTTGTCAAATAAGCATTGTGATTTAAAAATATACAATTTCTAGGCAGGGTAAAATCTGGTTGACATGTACTTTAGCATACAACAATGCTGAATAGGTCCTTGAAAAATTTGATTTTAGGTCCTTGAAAGTCATTGAAAAGTCCTTGAATTTTTTATTAAAAATTGAGTGGGAACCCTGTTTAGTTGCTCCAACCTGCTTCAAAATTGGCATTTTACATTATATTGTTCAAATTATCATTGCAGTGCTTCAAACTTCTAAATATTCAATATCTGCTTTAACTTACAAAATTGATATTACCAATTCATGATGAAACCAATTCATCCCCCTGTTTGAAACTGCTAATCATTTCTTTCATCCTTCTCCATGTAAAACTTTTTTCATAATAGTGTTCTGATACTGTTATAGGGCAAAGTATCATAAGTACCAATTGATTTTTGCTGTGCTTGAAACAGCCATTTTTATGTGCTTCCACTTGCTCTAAAACAACCATTTTTTCCACAAAATTGTACTAGACTTAAGTTTCCATGAAAAAAGTGTGATGTTGAGATATATTAGTTGATCAGTTTCAGGGTGCGTAGCGTTTTTAGAAACTGCTTAAAGGTGCTTCTTTTCGATTTTCGTTTTTTAAAAGTCCTTAAAGGTGCTTTTTTCATTGGGTGTTTTTAAAAAGTGCTTAATTTTCCCTTTTTCAAAATGAGATTTTTCTTTCACCGTGTTGATTTTTGTGTTGAATTATACAAAGAGACACAGTTCACATTGTTCTATTCAACGTTTTCATAATTAATTCAACCCCGTTCAATTTCGGCGTATAGTCTTTCCATAGCATGTAAAAACGCCATTCATTTTACATGATTCAAAATTTCATAATTTTTGACAACTGCGAAAAGTTTTTTTTTTTGGCATGACGGTTAAAACAAGATAAAACCATCGATTATCAAAAACTTTCCATCCCAGCCTAATTATGATATTTTTTAAAGTTCTTAAAAATATTTTTTGAGTGCTTAAAAGATACTTATTTTTGTTGAATAGTTTAGCTACGCACCCTGAGTTTACATCATATGACAGACTGTTAACCCATATTTCAAAAAAGTTGATTTCTAATTATGATTGCATCTTGAGGAAAATCATTATTCTGAATAGTCTCAAAATATTTTCTTCTTCAGGTAAGAAAAAGTGAAGTAAATGAGGTAGTTTTCCAGTCTGACCCTGAAGAGTCTGATATCTCGACATGCTCAATATCCTATGATTGCTCAGAAATTGTTTATGGGATGAAAAATGGACACTTGAAGGTAAAATCTTAAAAATTTAAATTTGTGTTAAAAGTGCACAAGATATCTTTATTTAATATTCAGAGGTATACTTATTGACCCATTAATTTTTAACTTTACTGTAATATTTTGCATATTTTTATCTAATGTTAAATAGGGTGAAATCAATTATAAAATTAGTAAAGTAATTCCTGCTTGAAAACATTCACTTTTATTTGAAAAAAAAATATAAGAACTAAATTCAAAATCCACAAATTATTATAATCTAATATAGTGGAAGATTCAAGGAAAATATAATTCTAGTCCAAGTCTAGTATAATTTTTTTTCATCTCTGTATTGCAGGGTGTAAATGATTTTAATCAAATGATTAAAATCATTGATTAAAATCATGATTTAAATCAAATGATTTTTTTAAAAAAAACACTGATTTTAATAAACAAATTTATATATATATATATATAGATTTTAGAAGTTAAAAAACAGTGTTTTAAATTATTGATACTTTTATTATTTTCTTTTCTTAGTTTCAAAATTTATTTTAAATAAATTGTTGCATTAATTAATTTTAGTTAACGAAATTACTTTCTTTCTTGGTGTGTGTTAAATTCCAACATATTGAAAATTACAATTTTAAAAGTCTTTTGATTCTTGAGATTGAAAGCACAGATTAAAGTAAACATTTAATGCTGTCTTAATATAGACTTGCATAGCTGTAGAAAGTAATTATTAAACATGAANAAAACTAATTAAATGATTGTTTAAATAATTTGATATTGTAGATGTAGAATTAATAATTATCACATATTGTTTGATAAACAATTTCTTTCTTGATTTGTAGTTTGAAATCACTTTGTTATTGTTTATTTCTTATTTCACCTTTTGCTTTTAAATTATTAAGAAATATTTTGTTGATAATGGTTAGTAATGTTTATTTCCAATGTATACCATAAGTAACAATAGTAATACAATACAACTTTAAATCTATGGTACACAAAATTGATTATATTCCATAGAATTGAAATTATAAAAAAATCATGATTAAAATCAAAAAAATCCGATTAAAATCAAAAAAATCCGATTTTTTTTGATTTTTTAAAAAAAAATCATGATTTTTATACACCCTGCTGTATTGCCAAAATAATAATAATAATTTTAAGTTGGTCATAAAAATAGAAAATGCTTCTTAATCTAATTATTGAACTTTGTGCTTGCTTGAATGTACAATCTTAATAGCTTGAGGAATTACTCTTAAATATGCTTACTAATTTCTGAAGACATTATTTTAAGTTAAAATTTACAATTAATAGGCATTATTTTAAGTTTCAAAAATGTACTTTTGCTAAATAAATTTACCATTTTTTTAGCACATTTGAATGTTTGACCCTTAAAAGATTAATACTATAGACTTTTATCAGCAATCTGTAAAATATGGTCTCTATAGCTTTGTTAGAAGAAAGATGGCAAGTTTAAGCCCCTCAATGTAAATTTCACTTCTTGCCTATTCTGCCATATCTTTCGAACTTTTTGGAAAGTCAAAAAACTTACAAACATTTTTAAAACTTGTTTATGCTAACTTAACTTTATGTAAAGTGCAATTTTTTAGATTATTTATTTATTTTTTTTATTTAATTTTATAATGGTCAAAAAAATTTTTTATTTTTGTGGTATATTAGTTTTTACCTCATTTTAAATTACGTAATTTTAAAATATTACGTTTGAAAGTAACTAAAAAATCAAACTAGATAAAATGTTATTAAAGTTTATTTTTTCCTGTATTTTGCACTGCACACAGAATGATTATTTTTTTCCTTTTTGTGTTCATAAATAATGATTGGTTTTTGCTTGCAGATTATTAATTTAGCTACTAATACCTCAAGATCATTATTCCCTTCTCATTTAAAACAAGTTAATTACATACTGCATTCTAAAACTGATCTCACATTTTTTACATGCTCAGAGGATAAGACTATTAAAGTAAGTTTCCTTTTTGTCCCTTCCACTATAATTTGAATTGTTTTTGTATTAATTTATCACATTGGAAATAATCATTATTTTGTTCTGTAATTGTTTTTAAAGGTTTGGAGAAATGGATCTCAATCTCTCATTTTAAAGGGTCACACACAGTCTGTTACAATGTGTGTGGCTTTCCAAATGTCAGATAAATTGCTGTCATGCTCCAAAGATGGTAGTTTAAGGGTTGGTATTATTATTATTATGTTTAAAGTAATAGACCATGTCAATCCCTAAATGTTGCTGTAAGAAGTTTATTGATTGGCCGTCTTTTTTAACCTTTCAGATTTCAAATAGAATTTTTATTTTATTTTTATTATTTTTTAACGTGTAGTAAAAATCTAGTAAGTCAAAGCTTAAAAGAGATCAATTGTTTTAAAATTGTAATGAATTTTATGTTATTCTGCACTTTAGGAAGTACAGGAGGTTGATATTAATATGTTGTTATTTATTCTTTTAATTTATAATTCTTACAATTTTAAAACTATTAGGTTAAATGTGTGTTGCAATATTATAAACAAAGAAAAAGAACTAATTTTTAAATTAAATTTATTTTTAATAATTTTTGAATACTTTGAAAAAAGTTTAAAATGTTATGTTATTATCTGTTATGTTATTATCTGTTCTTTTAATTTATAATTCTTGTCACCTTTAAACTATTAAATGAAATGAATAAAGTGTCTGCATAGTATGACAATGCAGATTCAAAACATATTTACATTCAAAAAACATTGTTTTTATTTTTCTAAGAAAAACTAAAGCAATGTCCTTTTTCTACTACATTCACTAATACAAATGAGTCAATCAAAGTTTCCTGGGGGGAAAAAAGACTTGCACTCACCTCATCGGCTGAAGAATATAATTTACTGTGGGATGAAATGCTTTAAAGTCATGAAATAATTAGCTGAAAGGGTAGCAATAATCACGGAAATGGGGAAAAAAAGAATTAAAAAAATAGTGAATGTTGAATTCCTTTCGATACATTTAGAGAATAAAGTTAAAACTTTAAGCAACAAAAGATGGCGCTGGAAAAAATATGAAAAGAGAGAGGTAACCTGACAACCCAGATGCTCTTTCAGTTCATATTCTTAAGTGATTTCAATATACTTCTGTGTCACTTTCAAATATTTTGATATTTTTAACTTTTTCTATGCTCTTTTCAATTTCCAATTATATAAGTTTGACTATAAGACTTAAAAGTAGTTCTTATTTTAGTTATATAGTATTTCGGTTTTAGTATAATGATTTTATTTCAAAATTATATTATTTGATCTGTTTAATGCATGCTAAATGGGGTTTTTTTTTTTTAATCTCAATATATAGGTATGGGACACAAACTCTGGTCAGTTATGCTTACCGCGCATTGAAGGTCACGGCAACCAAGTTATAACTTTTTGTGATGTATCACGTAATGAAAAACTTCTTGCTTCAGCTTGTGTTGACAAAACAGTGAAGGTATGGATTGTAAGATTAACCTAACTTTTTTTAATGCAAATATTATTTCTATTAACCATGACTACAGAATGAATCCTCATTCCCTTTCTTCTCTTAACAGAAGATTTCTGCCCATCTTAAAATCAAGGTATTTTTTGCAAAAAAAAAAAAAGAAAAAAGTGCTAAAAATTCATGGAGGGTGACAGCTTTTTATGGATTTTGAGCTGCAGTTGGTTACTGGAATCGTAAAAAAATACCAAAATACTATTAAATTGCAAACAATATCAATTGTTACATTTGTGCCAAGGATTTTTTATTAATTGGAAAGATAGCAAGCTTAAACACTTTGTGAATTTGCTTCAATTTTCATTCTTGCTGTAAGATGCACAAAAAATTATGAAACTCAAATTTTCTTTTCTCACATCAGAACCAATTATGTGGTTGGTTGTTACTATTAATAAATATTTAAAATTTTATTGTATGACGCTGTAAATTGTTGCAATGTTAATAATTTTTAATGTTATCATAAAACTTATGTAGTTTTTCTGAATTGATTACCATACAATGATTACCCATGTGACTGATGAAAAGCTTTTAGTAGAAATTGTGAAATTTAGAGATTTGAAAAATAAACTTTTGTCAACATGAACTTCACACCCAATTCATTCTATCTCAGTCAATGAAAAGTTTCCTTTCCTTCTCAGTTCAATTTTTCTGGTTTCCTAACACTCCAAAATGGTTCCTATGTGTTCAGCCTGTTTACAATATGCATGTAATATGTTTGAATTTAACTACTGCTTGAAGGAAACTTCTCTAGATGTCTTGCTGTTTTAAAAAAATTTTTATTTGATTCTACATTTATAGATTGAGTATGTTGTAGATATAGATAGAAAACCATTTTCTGTTTAAGACAGAAAATGATATCTAGTAGAGCCTAATTTATCCGAACCTCTTTATTCTGAATATATTGACTGATGTTAATTCTGAAGTTGTGTTTTATTATACTTACAAAGGTTTCACATGCATTCGTTTTAATTTTTCTCAATTTCAAAAAAAAAAAAAGAAAGAAAGAAAATGCTGTCATAATTCTGCTTAACGTAAGAACTTGAAAGTAAAAAAAAAAAACTTAGTACTGTATACATAGAATTAAAATATCTGTTGTTTCATCAGTCTTTTATTATTATTAGTGTAATTTAAACGTCATGACTTCCACTTCTGCTGAGAAAAAACATGTTATCTAGTCATAAAATCAATTCAATTTACAAAGTCAATTTTGATACATAAGAGGTAAAAAAAACACATTGAAACATAAATCATTAAATCAAATTGGAAAAGCACTCAAGGCAGCTGAAACCAAATTTGTTTTATATGAAATAGAAATAAGACATATATAAAATCTTTACATTTGAAATAAAAATGAAAATATATGTGTGTTTGCAGGACAGTACTTTATCAGGGGACACACTGCCTGCAAACACACAGGAGCCTTTCTGTTGTTTTAACCAAAACTAACAGTGCCCCAAGGCCCCATAATGAAAACACAAAAATCGATAACCTTTACTGCAGTTGAAAAGCACTATAAAATTGAAAGGGAATCACAACTAAGAAGTACAAAATTTAAACCAACAAATGAAACGCCTCCTTCAAATCACAATATAAGTAAATGTAAGTAAAGTAACAAGTTCAAGCAGATTATTTTTGTCATGTAAACCCCATTTATAAAATTTAAATCCTATAACAGGGTTCCTGCACGGTCAGGAAAACCTGCAAAATTCGAAAATTAAGCTAAAAAGTCAGAATTTTTCTTACATATTCATAAAGTTAGGAAAAAAAAAAAAACTATAGTTCATTCAAAGACTGACAGGCAAAAATAAAGTTGCAAGGAAAAATTCTGTTATTCAAAATATGTAATTTCCTCATAATAACATTCCTCTTTCCCTGGTAGAACCTGTCCTATTAGCAATTTTCCTCCTGTTTATCAAGGAATTTTTGATAGGATTGCTAGGTTTATTGCTCTTTGTGTGAATAACTGGTTTACAGACAACAGTAGCTGAAACAACAGCAGAAAAAGCAAAAAAGGAATTTTTACTGTTTTGTGATGCTACCCAAAAAAAAAAAAAAAAAAAAAAAAAAAATCATTTACAATTATAATGATCAAGCCACNATTGTTCTTATCCTCTCTCATGGTAATGCAACAGTCGAAGGGGGGTTTTCAATCAATAAAAGCTTTGGTTGAAAACCTTAATGAAGACTCGATTATTTCACAATGGCGTGTGTATGATTTTGTTTCATTTATAAATGGAATAAAAAACATAGACATTAATTAAAAAATGCTAGATGTTGTAAAAGGATCTAGAACAGAATGGAGACATGCATTAGAAGCTAAAAAAAGAAAAACAAAGAGGATAAAAAAGCTGAAATTTCTAGAAAGTGAATAAATGAAAAGATAAATGATTTGAAATTAAGAAAATCTAAATTGACGAAAACTGCTGCAACAGAACTGGATGTTCTTGATTCAGAAATTGTCAAACAACAAAATATGTTAAGAAATATTATATAACATAGGAGCCCCTGAGTTTCTCCGGAAGCTTACAGTATTACAGAAATAAATTTAAAAATACTGAAAAAAAAAATATTTTTGATTTTATTTGCATAATTTTTCTATCTGAATTTTTATTTGTATATAATTAACTTTTCTTGACTTTTTTCCCCTTTATATTTAAATATTATCTTTTAAAAGAAAAGTCAGTTTAAAGTGAATTGGTGATTTTTAAAAATTAATAACTTAATGTAACAAATGTTCTAGTATGTTTTAAGGATACTAATACATATCTCGCAGATTTGATTAACCCTTTATATCCCGAAGACGCTCATGCATTTGGTTCCACTTAACATTAAATAAAATAATATTTCCATAATCCAACAGATTTTCTTGATCTTTTTATTTAAATAGTTTTTGTATCTAACTACAAAAATACACTAAAAGTTTAATCTAATCATGATAATTAAAATTATGTTTCACAAGTTTTCTGAAAATATAATTTGCGATATAAAGTGCTATTACGCAATTCCACTTTAATATATAAGTGTTTATCCTATTCAATATATGATACTTATGACTAAGTAGCATATTATTACTAATTGAAACTGCAATGTTAAAAGTTTTGTTGGAGTAGGAAACTGCAGGTGAGGAATTTTATTGGTCAGGAAAAACCTGCAAAAGTTAGGATATTGTTTTCTCAAAATAGTGTAGGAACCCTGTATAAATTACTTCTATTAAAAAGAAACCTCGATTTGCAAAATTTATTTACAAAAATACAGTAGGGAACCGATTATCCGGAACGATCGGGACCATCGCTATTCCGGATAACTGATTTTTCCGGTTTTCTGAATCACTACAAAAAGCCGTTTTTTTTTATTGTTAAATCCAACTAAAAAAAAAAAAATTTGGAAATAATCTTAAAAAGAAGAAAAAACGATGAAGTAATACACTAATGATTATTTCCAAAATGATGGTAAGGTAAACATCTTTCAAAAAAGAAAGAAAAATCCTAAAATCTTATGAGGAGAAAAATTTTTTTTTTAAAAAGATGGCGAGAAAATTTAGCGAATTTCGTTCCGGTTTTTTGGTTTTCCGGTTTTCTGATTTCCGGATAACGGGTTCTGTACTGTATATTAAAGCACCTATTTAATTGAAATATTTCCAGTATCCCAGCTGGATACGGTTAATCCAATTATTTTGGATAATCTAGGTTCTCTTGTATGTTATTGTTCTTCCAAACAGTGTCATTTTATGTCACCTCATAGTGATAATGTATTAAAAAGAAGTGTTTATTAGATTCTCTAAAATATAATGGCAAAAATTCTCTCTAGAATATATTACGTAACAAAATATATAATTAAAGTTATCATTTTGAAAAAAATCCTTTGAGAAGCAACTTTTCAATCGAAAAATAATTATGTTTAATTTTACTTCTTGTAAATTATTTACATTAATAATTGAGTGAATCCATCATTATTTTCACCATGCTTTGATTAATGAAAATTGCTATTTAAGGAATAACTTTTGTTACCAAAACTTTGTTTGACTGTCTCGTGGAATTCATCTATATTTGTTGTAGATATGAATTTTTTTTTTTCAAAATTTAACAGAGTTAACTTGTAGAAGCAATTATAGAATTTTCTTATGGCAATATTTTTGGACTATAAAATAGGACATTTATTATTTTTCTATTCTTTCAAAACTTTTCCCAAAAAACTCAAAATAATGCTTGAAAAAGGAAAATGAACCAATGCAGCTTTATTTCTATGTACCTCTATTTGCAGTTGTGAAATTTTGAGAATGGAAAGTTTTCCAAAACTCTTAAACTAGAATATTTGTTATATTATGTTTGTAATAATTAATTTTAAACTTTATGCTTGCAACATCTATTTCATATCTTTTCTTGCTATAGTGTAAAAAGCTGAAAATATCTATTGTGCTTAATTTTCTGTGCGTATATTTTTTATTACATGATACCTTCATTTGCAGCTCTGGAATTCTGAGAATGGAGAGCATTTCAAAACTCTTGAGCTATCTCAACCGGAAGAAGATCATCATGTTAGATGTTGTAGATTTTCTCCAAACCGTGATATTTTGATCTCTGGTCATGACAATGGTGATGTCATTGTAAGTGTACATTTCTTAACCATTTTAAGTTTTATAGAATTTTAAAAATTGCAATGACTATAATAAAACTACTCTCTGTCTGCTAGATTTTTATGTATAACTTCTCAATTTTTTTTTTTTTTTTTAGTTGGCAGAGTTTGATTTAAATTTTTTTATTAACTTTAATGTTACTTTCTTGGTGATATATGATTGTGTCGGTGATATTTTGGAGATACTCACTTCTACAATTAGTTGGAAATTATGAATCTAATACATTTCTCTAGAATTTGAGGTTTTAGTAGCATTTTGTAAGTGCAATGCACTGCACCAGAAAAAACTGCATATTCTTAGCTCAATAAATATTTGTTTTGTTACCATAAAACAGTGTTTCCCAAAATGTTGTACGCGTACCCCCAGGAGTACGGGAATCGTTTAGCTGGGGTGCGCGTTCGTATGCGAAATATCTTGCAACAAACAAAAATTTTAAAAACGAAACTGGCCATGAAAATTTACGATTGCCTATTTGTCAATTGGCTATTTTTTGCAGAGTTAACAGTTAATAATTAGTGGTGTCAACAGCCAGTTGTGATTTTTAACTTTTGTGCAATTTTTTATAGTAAAAAAATCATTCATTTTTTTTATTGGTGGTACTCAGCATTACGAAAAATTTAGAAAGGGTATGCAAAAGTCATAAGTTTGGGAATCACTGCCATAAAAGATCTGGCTACTGATAAATAGCTCTGATCATTATAGTGACTAATTATAGGCAATTTCAAAGCATCTTTTTTTTTTCTTTATTGTTAATGCTAGATGATTTTTTAAATTTAATTATTGTTTGCCATTTTTTTCACTTTTTGTTTATTTCAAATGGTTATTTTATTTATTTATTTTGTTATCAAGAAAATTGAGTAAAAGACTTTTCTAATCATTCTTAAGTAACATAAATGACTAGTGTATAAATTTTCATTTACTCTAAAATTTTATAAAATCAAATCATAGGTCATATGTTATTATTAATTTATCAACGACGTTTAAACATTGTTTATGGCAGTTTTGGTGAACCTTTTTTAAGAAGCATACAAAACTGTTTGTTTTAGAAAGGAATAGGTTTTTAATGCATATATAATTATTTGTAGTGGAATTTTATTACAATAATAACCAATTAGAGATATTTATAAAAAATTTTATTTTTATCTGACATGAATAATTTTTTCTATTTAAATTTATTATAAATTATCTTTAAATATACTCTTCTTTTAACTTTAAGTATACTCTTCTTTTAAATTGTATCAAAGGCAGCCTTAGTTAATTTACAGTTTGACTTGAAAGGAGTTTTTTTAAATGTCCATAAGAGATATTTTTTAATTATTTATTAATTTTTTATCTATATTCAGCAAATATTTTAGTTGATACAATTGTAATATTATTTTTCTTCTAATGTTCGATTTTCATTTTGTTAATATGTAAATATATATATTTGAAGGTTCATTCAAAAATTGTTTTCTATTTTAGATGTGGACCTTTCAGGGCAAGCCTGAACATGTTTCGAAAATGCCCCACAAATCTATGATTCATGACATCTTATTTAAAAGAGATGGATCTCAATTTTTGACAGTTTCGCAATTCATTAAGATATGTGATGTGGCTTCCAAGGACTATCAAACTCTTGTACTGCCTAGTTCAGTCATGGGAGTCAAACAACCCTGCATTTGGGCATCTGATGACTTCAACATCATCGTTGCTGTTGTTAACTACGTTTTGTACGTTCTGAAAAAGATTTCATGAGTGCCTTTTTTTTTTTTTTTTCTATTTTTGTAAAATGTGCAAATTTTGAACATTATTATTTTTGTACTTGTTCTTACTTTTGTGGCAAGAAATATAATTGTTTTATCATCAGAATTTGTTGGATTTGTACCAAGTAAAGTTAGTCTGTGTTGCAGGGAAATAGCTTTTACTTTTAAAGAGTTTAACAGTTTTTCTTTGAATTAGGTGAATCTTTAAAGCTGCTTTGTTAGAGGCTGTTTCACATGGATCCCAACTCAAAACAGAAAACAACAGCCTTGCAGATTTTCAGATTATTTTTCTCATTAGATATTTTTTTAAAAAATAGAGGGGAAAAATGCAGAGATGCCTTTTTAAAATGTCAAATGTCTAAAAACAAGTTTCTCATCAAAATTATAAAGCTGAGTTGAAAAAACAAAACAAAAAATATTCTATTAGTTTATTACAGTTTTTTACTGCACACAGATTTATTCCACTTTTTTTTTAGTAAATTAGTTTAAGTGACATAAAGTTTGATGTATAACTTTTAAATACCTTTATTAGTTTTGTTACATATCATTTAAGCTCAATTTTTACAATAATAATCTCTATCTGACTGGACAAATTTGTATTTATGAAAATAATGCTTCAGATTTATTTCATGAATTCTTCTATAGCAGGCTTACTACTTATGATAGAGTCACCTGCAATTTTGTACTGATATGAATAATCAGCTCATCCAACAATTTCTGTTAAACGATCATAGAAACGATCATAGGTTGCATCTGGCCTACCTGGTATCTTTGCTACGTGTGAAAAGAATGTGTTATAGTCAAAATATTATTCCCTTCTATTTAGATGATCCTACGATTTTTTTGTTTCTTGTAGTATTGTCTGTTGCATATTTTTGTGGGGAGTGTGATAATGGAAAGTGGGAAATTAATACTCATCTGCTCCCAGATCTATAAGTTAGGGTAGTGTATTCTGTGCATACTCCAGTATTATCTTTTTATCGTCAATAAGGAGGAATCCCCGACCTTATGGGTTAATACGGTAACTCTTAATTTAATAACTAAATGAAAATTTATATTCATCTGAAATATTTTAAAAACTTTTCAGAATTTATATATTTTTTTTCTTTAATAAAGTCTTAGTAATGAAATTTTTTTTTTGAAAAAAGCAAACAAATTGTTCAAGTTTTATTATGACTATTTTATCAATAATCAAAATTAAATGGTTATACCAGGACTTGTAAATTGAGGATAGGGCAAAAGAGCTCAGGGTATTTTCTACTTTTAACCCTTATATGTCAAGCCAGACATGTACCTAAATATTTAGTCAGAAATACACTAAAATATTCATTAAGCGTGCCTTAAAAATGTGATCCTTAACAAAAACTTATGAAAACAAAGTAGCTTATTCTTTTTTATTATCCTAATCATACATAATTTTATACTAAAAATGAACTGTAATTGCTGTGCATCAATAATAATGAATGTAAATGTTAAAATTTAAAGTGAGAATATTCTTTTAACTGCTTCAGGATCCTTCATTCTCCTATCTCCTTTCATGATTCATTCTCCTATCTCCTTTGATCATTCTCCTTTCATGACACACATTATTGTATGGAACCTTTCTAACTAATAGCACAGGCGTGATCTCAATATTGTACTCTTGTATTATATTTCATGTTAGTAGGTATACATAATCGTTCACAGAAACTCAGAGTATGCGGCCTGGAGATCATCTTTTTTATTTTTTTATCATTATTATGCCAATCCTGAAGGGGTTAGCAACTCTAGATTAAGATGTAAAATTTGTTTCTTCCTATTATACATAGTTCCTTTTGCTGTTTTGTCTTTCTGGTAAATAAGGAGGCTTTTGCAATGATAAGTTTTTTTAAACGAATTGTTGCTTTCCTATAAGTAGATATTGATGTTTTTATTATTATACATGCGAAAAAGGGTGTTTAAGCTTATAAAAATTTCAAAATTTAAAACCTTACGTACTCGACATGACATGTAAGAGTTTTAAAATTTTTCAAACCTTAATTTATATCATAAAAAAAGTTTAACAAATTTTAGAGTTTTTTTTTTTTTTTTTAATATTAGGGAATATACCTAAAATAACTTAGTTATCTTACTAGTTTACGTAGTTTAGTTATCTTACTTGTCTTAACAATGCCCATAAAGCAAATTATTTAGTTTTGGAGCTTGGTTTTCAATGAACTTTTATCTTGCATTATGGTCATTGCTTGATTCAAGTAATAAAAGTTGTGCCAAATTTACTCATCATTAGTTAATGGTGACGTACTGAGTTTTAAATGAATGAGAGAATATTGTTGAATGAATGTTGATGTGTAAAAATATAGTGTGATATAAAATTTCAAGCCATAATGTCTAATTTTTAAAATGTATTCATTCACTTTTAATTTAGTGTTTTTTTTTTTTTACCTTGTAAACAATGTATAGTAAGCTGAATTATTTTATATATAAATTTAAATTTATCTTTTATTTATCGTGACTAATAAAATCATTACATTTAAATTATTAAAAAAATATAATCAATAATAATGCTGATGTTATTATTTGGTCAAAAATAATAAAGATGTATGAAGAATTGCATTGTTCTATATTTATATATATATTTGAGAGTAGAGTGTTTAATTATTCTATATTAATCACCGATTGTTAGTAAAATGTTTTATTTTTATAGGTAAACGTATCGTGGCATTGTTATAACTTTTATTTTTTGAAGTTAGTTAAATATTTAGCCATAAAATTAATATTAATTAGCTTACATCATCTTTAAGCATTCCTTTGCAAATACGTATTTTACAGTCCAAACTTTCTTGCCTCTAATTCAATTTTCAACTATTAATTTGTTATTTTGAACGCACAAAATAGGTATATAAATGTACAAAAAATCTTTTTATGTATATCATGTTTGTAATAGTACAATTTTTACTCTTTTCAAATGAAACCTTCATTTAAGACTGACTTTTTATCTTCTTGTACAAACTTTTTTTCTACTATACATTTGTTGCAAAATAGTCCTGCAGTATTTTTTTCATGGCTTAATTTTTGTTGTTAATTTTAAAATTGTGATGTAATTTTGTTTTCGAACTTTTCCTTAAATAATAACTGAAACTTAGTTTGGTTGAATTTATATGCATGTTTTAAACCAAATTATTTTTGTATCTTTAACAAGAATCTTTGCTGAAAATCAAATGTTTTAGATCAGGCAGGGGTGTAGCCGGGGGATATGGAGTCATACTTCCCTCTTGTAAAAAAAAAAAATTTGGGAAATTTTAGCAAGTAATTTTCAATTATTAGCATGTGTTTATTTTCATACAAAATGGTTTATATTTCTAATGAAATTGTAAAAAAAATTTCTTGCAGTGTAATAAAAATGTAAAGAAACAAATAGGGAAAAATATATATAATTTTTTTATACTTATATATTAATGCATCAATTATATAGCAGAATGTTTTTAACATACTGCCATTAAGAGAGAATTAGTTAATTTTTCAATCATAAAGAATTTTTTAATTTGAGTAAAGAAATATAATTTTGGATTCATGTTACTCTTTGCTCTTGAATAAATGTTTCTTACAATACAATGTACTTAATCAGATATTATTGTTACGTTTTATTACTTATCATAATTTTTATTTTATTTTTTTCAATGCACTCTGTGACAAGTATTGAGCTATATGAAATAAGAAAATAAAATTTCGATAAAAACTGTTTAGATTTTAAAAAAATTACTCTAACAAATGCCAAAATTCTGGTGTCAAAAAAGCAATGATCTCCTGAATGGCAGTTTTGAACTCAGCAGTGGTTTTGGAGATAATTTGCACATTTTTGTCTTCAATATAGCTTCAAAAAAGAAGTCCCAAAGGTTTAGAACAGGAGACAAAGAGGGCCAAGCTGGTCCTATTCCAATGGTCTCTGATTACCCAATGGAGTAAGGAATTCAGAAATGCTATTTTAACATTTTCTCAAAAAATATAAGTAACATCAAAAATAAAAGTGTGCATGCTCAAAAAAAAAAGAAAATCCCAATATGCCTTGCATTCAGCCAACAGCACGTTTTTGCTGAATCTTGCCGAAAGTTATGAAAATATTTTTATCTAGCTCAATAACGTTGTTTGATATTGTCATTTATGTGTCAATTTCACTTTTAAACATTTATAAATAATATTGATATTATTTATAAATTCACTTATTAATTAAAAATTAATGTATTTCTAAATAATTTTATATAAAATTAATGTTTAAATAGTTAATTAATTACATAATTAATAATATAAGTATTAAGTATAATTAATTAATAATATAAGTATTAAATATAATTAATTAATAATATAATTATTAAATATAATTAATTAATAAAATTAATTCATAATATAGTTTACATTCTGATCAAGTTATTGCTTCTTTCTATTATCTAAAAACTATCTTAAACAAGAACAAAATATAACATTCATTTTCATATTTTAAAGCCTAATTCAAACTATTCTAACTTTTTTAAGTTAAAATTTCACTATTCATCAAGTGTTTAAAAAAAGTGCATAACCTTTTAGTTGAATTGTTTTTAAGATTCTCAACTATTGAGACAATTTTGTGATATAAATATTGTGCAATGACTGCTGTAATATATGCCCGTTTTTATGTAATGGAATACAGTGTCTTATGAATTTAAGTGTTATGTATGGATATCAATGCATAATTCTATTTGTATATCAGATCTTTAATTCTAATACTTTGTGAAGAAGAAAAAAAGTTATTGAAAAAACATTTTGTTATTAAATTTGCTTATATTTTAGATATGTTTACAGATTTCAAAATGCAACCAAATTGCTCATTTTATTTTTGGAACTTTATGTTAATGGTTAAGATATTTTAGACTTGTGTGCTTTTTTATTTATATAAATGCCATGTTTGTAATATTTGTTTTCGTTTATTTCTCTTCGAATGGAATTCTGTCAAGAAAACATGCTACATCATAAACTAGGTTTCCCCTCAGTATTGAAAAAAGAAATGTATTCAAAGAAAAATGTGGAGAATGACAAAAATATATATTTTTATCCGTACTCTAATCTGCCCTAATTCGACCAATTAACTGTTTTTTGATCACCTACTACTCAAACCTACTTTAAATACACTTTTCAAAAGCAGTCTTTTTAATTCAATACTCGAACTCATTAACTTTTCTTCAGTACAGAATTATAGCAGGTTCATGTACCAAGAGGAAGGTAGTGGGTTCGAGTATTGATGTAAAGAAAGTTGCGTTGAAAAATGACCAAATTATCCATAGTCAGTATTTAATTAAAAAGACTGGTTTCGAAAACTGATAATGGGTTCACGTATTGGTCAAAAGAAACAGGTTAAAAAAAAAAAAAACTCGTCATATTATAGAAGGCTTAGGTACCGATAGAGAGTTGATAGGTTAAAGTATTGAATTGAAGAAACTGGTTTTGAAAAGTGAACAATAAATAACAGGTTCGAATACCAATAGAAACATTGGGTTCGAGTACTGAACTAAAAAGAATGGGCTAGATTAGATAATGGGTTCGAGTATTGGACTGATTTTTGAAAATTGTTCAAATAATAGTCGGCTATTGTACCGATAGAAAGATAGTGGGTTGCTTTGAACACTGATGAAATTATAGCAGGTTCGAATGCTGTGTCGAGTATTGAAAACTGATAAAATAATAGTGGGTATCTGAACCTTCTATAATTAGGTCATTTTTCAAAACCTAATTCTTCTGACCAATACTCGAACATTTTAATTTTTAACTGTCCTCTAATCCGTTTTGCTTTATTAAAATTACATACATTTGCAGGCTTGTGTGCTCAATTTAGGCTTATAAGCCTTTGTGAAGTAGAAAGACAGATAAAACAATTCAGAGGACAATTCATGAAGAATACAGCCAGGGTTACGACGGGATTCCAACCCCCTACCTCCACACTTGGCACAGCGTTTGATCAGCTATACCGCTCGGCCAGAGAGGCCCTTCTCTAATCCGCTATAATTAAATCGGTTTTCAACTCCACTTTTGACCTAAACTCGAACACTTAATTTTTATCGGTACACAAACCTGAAAATATTTGATCAATTTTCAAAAATTCAGTCTTCTGACCTATTTCTCTTTACTCGAACCCCCCATGTTTCTATCGGTACTTGAACTTACAATTAATTATTCAGTTTTTAAAATCAGTCTCTTCAGTTCATTACTCCAACCTACTTTGATCAGTTTTAAATTGCAGTCTTACTAGACCAAACGCGAAGCCACTATCTGTGTACTGCTATTCGATCAGTTTTCCCAATCTCTTTTTATCAATACTTGTACCTGCTTTAATTTAGTCTTATTTCAAAAAACCAGTCAGTTTAGACTACTGGAACTTACTAATTATTTTTTTTATCGGTACTCGTCCCGCAGTGGACTGATTGTTAAGACACGAAAGATCACTGATGTCATACATCACTATTGCGGTCAGTGTCTGGGTAGGTGATTACTTGGATCTGTCTGCGTAGGGTGCACTCATGAAACACTCACGTCTTCGAGCTACTGAAATCCCCTCGGCCAAGGATCAAAATTGTGATGGCGTGACTGCGAACCATCGTCAGAGATATTTCCCAAACTGTCGCCAAAAGCCTACTATACAGCTCTAGGGAGACGTTAATAACAACTTCTTATATCATTATTCAAAAACCAGTCATCATATTCTGACCAATATTCGAACCCACTGCAGGGCTGATTGTGCTCCGAAAAAAATCCGGATTTCCGGAATTTTTGCTAACAGTGATCCGGAGATCGAAGGTCCAGATGTTTCAAAAAATCATTGATCACAGAAGTTTCCGGAAATCAAATTTTCAAAGGTGGAACTTAAAAACACAGTTTATTTTATTTGTTTGTAAGGGAGAGCCAGAGAGATACTTTATAAGCTTATATTCGTGATTAATATTTATTTTTTTATCAGTAAACAGTTACTATAATTATAAACTCAAGAAAGAAAGACATATTTGTTAATTTTAATTACTTCTCCAGGTCATCATAGGTATGTGTCATAGGTATAGGTATGCATAAAATTTTAAATATATTTTAATCAAATTAAGAAATACAGAGGAAAGGGAGAAAAAAAACTTGTTTAAAATTTTTTTCAATTGAAACATTTNGAAAGAAAGACATATTTGTTAATTTTAATTACTTCTCCAGGTCATCATAGGTATAGGTATGCATAAAATTTTAAATATATTTTAATCAATCAAATTAAGAAATACAGAGGAAAGGGAGAAAAAAAACTTGTTTAAAATTTTTTTCAATTGAAACATTTTTTTTCTTCTTTTTTTGAATTCAAGATAATTTCCGGAATTTTGACTTGGGCTCACAATCACCTCTGCCACTGTTTCTATCAGTAATCAATGCTATTTAGTAATCGGATTTAGAAGGCTTTTTTATTCAATACGCTAACCCATTAATTTTCCATTGGCACCTGAGCCTGCTATAATTTGACAAGTTGTTTTAACCAGACTTCTTTAAACTAATATTCAAACCCTCTACATTTCATTCGCCGCTGTCACCTACAATTAATTGATCGTTTTAATTTATAACACATTTATATTCCATCATTCTGTAGAATTCAATCCTGGAATCTATTAACTTACTACAGGTTTGAATTGATATAAATTGCTCACTTTTCAAAACCAGTCAATTTTGACCACTACTCGAACTTACTAATTTTTAGCAGGTTTTCTAATCTGCTAGCATTAAATCAATTTTCGGAGCCGTTCTTGACCAATACTCGAACCCTTTACCTTTCTATTGGTACACGAACCTGTTCTCGAACCATCGGTGATGGAAGCTGTAATTATTTGTTTTGTTTTTTTCTATACAACTTGCTCGAACTCCTTGCCTCTTTCTTGGTAACGCACTATAATTTGGTCAGTTATACTAAGTATATAGTTTTGGTCAGTGTTATACTAAGCATAATTTGATCATGTTTCTAATATTAGTTTTAAAAGTTCTTAACTGATTGAAAACAAAAGAAAAAATCTTAAATCACACATGCCCAAGTTACATGTTTTCAAGTTTGTAAATTATTATTAAATATCATGAACTCATCTAGAATATAGAATTATGAAATTCTGCCATAAATTTATTTATTTAAAAAATCTAAAAATATGTGAACTAGTAAAAAACCATATTGTAATAAAAAGGATTTTAAAGTCATTCATTTTAATATTAAATTAATAATTACTGCCTCATATTGAAATTCTAATAAATTTTGTATCAGTTTTCCACGTTTTTAGAAGTTAAAAAATTTGCCTCCCGCTTGTTTTCAAAAAAAGTAGCTTGCTATTAAAATTTAAAAAATAGTTTACATTAATTAGTTTGTTATAACAATACAAGAAACAAATAAAATAAAATAAAAATATGACCACCGAAGCCGACGTCTTCAGGGGGTACCGGCCTCGGTAGCCATTAAAAACAAAACCATTTCTATTTGAGGGAGAAGCAAAAGCTTAAAATATCTCCCTCAGTACCCCGATGGTTTTGTATAGAGGTCCAGGAAAAACAAGATACATTCAAAAGAATAAACAAATTACGAAAAGAAAATCAATAAAAATCATCAGAAAATTAAAAACTCACAGTCACAGGTCAAGAATCAACTTCAAAAGCGGAGGAAAAGAAAACACTAAAAACTGAAAAACAACGCCCCCTATAATAATGCGCAGTAAAAGTTTAAAAATGATATGAAAAGGTCAGGAGAAGGAGATACGTAGATAAATTAATAGAATGCTTAACTGGGGCTGCTCAGTTAAGACTAGAATTGCGCCCTGTTAAAAGAAAAATTTAAAAACCATCAATCATTTTTTTAATTAAAAAATTAACATTACAAAAATTAAATGATTTTCCTTTTAATTTCGCGTTTTTTAAAAGCGCGTTTTTTTCAAAGAAGTTTTATCCTTTTGATCTTAATTATTTGTGTTTTCTTTCAGTTTGTTATAACAAATTTCCTTATATATAATATTGAAACTGATTTGTTATACGCCTGCACCCAATGTTTTGCGATTTTTTTTGCTTCTTAACCAATTTTGGAGCATTTTTATTGGCACTGCTTACGTCACATAATTTCATGATTATTATTTTTTTTTTTTTAAATTGGATTTGATTTAAATCAGATTTTCTATTTTTTTATATTTACCTGCCAAAACATGTGGTAAAAAATATTAATATCACTTATATTGTTTAAAAACAATAATATAGCTGAAATAGTACATTTTTCTAACTAAAATGTTTCAAAAATTATTATTTTTATTACTTAGAACTAATCACTGAATAAATAAAATCACAGTTACTTTTGTTCAAGCTAAAGATCCTAAAATTTTTAAGACAGTGCAGCAATCAGTCAACAAGATATCCAATGAAGTATAAATTAATTTATACTTCATAAATCGAAATACATTGTTGAAAAAAAAAATATTATAAGTTATTTTGGGCAGGACAAGTCTTCTTCAGTATTCATAAATACTTACAACATATTTAATATGTTTTAAAAGCATTGAAGTATTCAAATAAAATAAAACTAAATGAGTACAGAAGAAATATATTTACCACTAACAAATTATTTTTCATACAGCTAAAAAAAAAATTATAATATAACAAATTAATGTCTCTAATCCATTCAGAGTCTGTAATTTTATTTATTTATTAGTATACTTAGAAACATAATAATTTACTTTTTCTTTGGTTAAAACCTACATTATCAATAAAATCTGCCTTTAAAAAAATTTAAATCCCAAAGAATATACTTATAAAAAATTTTTGACTTAAATGATTTGCATAAAAAAATTTTTTTTAAATAATGATTTTCTTTAAAATCACAGTTGATTTACATAATTTAAAAAAAAAACAATTAAGTGGTTTAAATAGAAATTTTAATCATGATTTAAATTATACCAACTATGTCACAAACTGCTAAAAACAGAATTAAATATTGCAACCCTATTAATTTCTAAGTTCACTTGCATTATAGCCTTTTTATAACACAAAACATACATTTCATAAATAAAAAATGAAAGATCTATATCACATGCAGACAACAATGTTGTTACCAGTATGCTGCAAATTTCATCAAAAATATAGCAATATATACACACAAACTATTATTTAATGACCTTAAACACATAAAAAATATATATAAATAAATACATAGGATTCATTTATAAAATATGAATCCTATTTTGTTTAAAAAAAAAAAACCTTAAAATTATACTATTCTTTAGATCGTTTTAGCTGATGCATAGCAATAAGAAAATGATACCATAGTCACATTAAATATTTTTACATACAATAATTTACTTCTTAACACAACACAAAGTCAACATTCACAGGCTCTATTTAAAACAACACACTAAACATAAAAGTCTTGCACCCAGCAGACATATTAAGGTTCAATGCACATTTCAAAAATAATTTAAACATTCTTAATTTATCCCAGGAGGGTAGAAGAGATTGAAAAAAAACATCTGGTTAATTCTTCAACTTTAAAAAAATAAAAAACATCAGAGTAGTGGATTTCTGCACAATTTTACACCGAACAATCACTTAAATTTAAAAATAAACATGGATAAAAGCTTTGATGAAAATCCAGAACTAACTAAAACAACCGGGCAAATCTTTAACCTTGAAAAAAAAACATCAGTGTAGTGAATTCCAAGCAAATTAGGAACTGGGCAATCGCACTTAAAGAAAAAAAAAAAACATTAAAGGTAAAAAGTCAATACCCTTGCTCTTTCCTCATCTTCGCTGACACTACACAATATCCTGGTAAAAACACTTTTCCCGGTAAAAACCCAATCCCAGAAAGCATCTTTGTAATAACTTTTTAAATATTAAAAATTAAGACACTTTTCATTTTCACAAATCTCTATCAGGAAGGAATTTGAGATTCTTTAAAGCATTTCAATGATTTGCAGATCTAGAACTTATCAACTCAAGTGCATGAGATTTTAAAATCGAATGAAAAATTTTCCTCCGTGCTCAAGTGGCAACTTCCCACCCAGCCACATCCTGGACTACCTCAAGATTATTGTATAGTAGGACTGTACAATCTTTTTTATTGAAGGGCCACTTGCACAGCAGGTTGAATAAAGAAGGGTCAGCATATATTTAGTCATGTTGATGGCAAATATGATTAAAAAAAATTATGTTCTAAGCATTAAATTTTTCTTTTCAAAAATTTAGCAATATATTTTCAGAAAATTTTATATTTTTAATTATTAGAATTAATTCAAAAATTATTCTAAATTTTTTCTTCCTTTTTATCAGTAATTGATTAATCAGAATATATATATATCCAGATTAATATATAATAATATATAATAATAATACATAAATATTGTCCATCAAAAAGGTTTTCTAAACCTGTGTGAAATGAGCTGACTATCAGGCCACCCCTGACTATATACTAGATTGTCTGGGGCTTTCAAGACAAGATCATTTCACAAACCCAATTCTAGTATTAGACTTTCCAACAGTGACAGATTTCATAGCTATGAATCTCATTTAACTATGAAGATATGCAACAATATATAAATATTAAGGGGTGGTAATTTCTAAAAATACTGCAATGCTTATATAATGAAAGAGTAAAAAACATACATAAATATTTCAACTAAAGAAAATTTATAGTGTTTAAACAAAAATTAAATCAAAACCTAATAAGATTCAATAATGCCAAAATAGCCAAAATAAGATTAAATTAAAATCACTTTCTTGAAGTACTAAAGATTTTATGAATTTTAAATATGAAAAGTTTTCTTCGTTTTTTCCTAATAAAAACCCCCTAAGCTACAAAGAATTTAAAACAACATAAATTTTAAACAGTAAGCAATTTAAAAATTTGCATTTTCTTCAAGTTTTTGAATTTTACAGATTGCAATGACACTGTATTAAAATATCAGGATTCTAAATATCACGCACAAATGCACGACAAAAAAAAAAAAAAAAAAAAATATGCACAAATAAATAACAATCAAAAAGTGATTATTTAAATATGCGATTAGAAACTCTCATGATCTAATAACATGGTGGTTAAATTAAGGAAATCATTAAAATCATGTAGAATAAATCATCACATGTGCAAAAAAGACCAACTTATATTTACAATGAAATCAGTATGAATAAAGTGCATCAATAAATAATTATTTAAACGTGTGATTTAAAATTTCACGTCATAATAAAAATCAGAATTTTTAAAAGCATGTTGGAATGCATCGCCAAAAAAAATTATTGAAAAATAAGTGGATTTAAGATGAAATCTTGAAAAACAAAGCGTATCAAAAAGTGTCAAATGCGCAATTTGAAACTCGCATGTGGTAATAATATATTGTAACAAAAATACGAGATTTTCAAAATCACAGGGTCAAGTATAACAATATCTGACTTTGAAAGAAGAAAAGAAATAATTTAGATATACCATGAAATCGTCACAAATAAACCATGTTAAAAAAGAGATAAATTAAATGCGTGATTTACAACTCACAAGTCGTAATATCATAATAAATGAATCAGAATTTTAAAAACCACAAGGAAATTAGTAGTTTTAAATGCCAAAAAACAATCAAAAGTGACTTGGATTTACAATGAAATCGGCAAAAATAAAGAGAGTCGAAAAATGATTACTAAATTCGAGCATCATAATATCGTATTAAAAATATTGAAATTTTTAAAACTATGCGAAATTTCATAGAAATAACCATTGAAAAGAATGATAAACGTCATGGATTTACAATAGATCCAGTGCGAGTTGAGCGCTTAAAAAAGTGATGACCTCAATCATTTGAGTCAAAATTTTCCATGTATCATTTTTTTATTATTAAAAAAAAGGCGTGTTCAGAAGCATCCGCAAGCCACATATCCAGAGTCAGTGGGTCGCATATGGCCCACGGACTGCAGATTGTGCCCCACCCCCTACTAAATATGGCCTATTTCTAAAAACGTCAATGGTTGTCTCAAATTTAATGAAACATTAGTACAGTTTCAAAGATCTTCTTTACAACTAATCTAAATCATGGAGATAAGACCTACCATCACCCAAAACTGTTGGCTTTTCTTAATGGTGAGCCATTTCCAGAATTAGAGTAACTGGATGCTGGCTATACTTGACCTAACATTCATAAGTAACTATTGTAAACATGCAGCAGTTAGGAAAAGGACAGATTATCAACAAAACAAGTGTTATTTCATAGGCCAATGTAGCGTTCAAAACACAGCCTTAAAACAATCAGCAAGGCATGGTAAGAGACAAATCAAACTGTTCATAAACAGTAATGATAGAGGCCTGCAGTCCGATTTTGAGTGACAAGGAATATGTACGAATGTACAAAAGATTTATCACATACATTACACGGATAAGGTTTTTCTCCAACAGGAAGAAAGGAGTGATCATTAATCATTTCAATAGGATTTCCATTAAAAAAATTTATTACAAACATTACACATGTAAGGTATTTTTGCTATATGAAAAAGATATATTTTCTAACACAAGCTGCCTAAATAAGATATTTCTCCAGAATGTGCAAGATAGGATTTAATTAAGCAAATTTTAAGTGAGTAGGTGTTATCATACACTGCATGAATAAGGTTACTAACCAGTATGAATGAGATAGTGTTTTTAAAACAGATTTCTGAGCAAAAGATTTATCATACACACTACATAAGAAAGATTTCACCATGTATAAGATAGTCTCTAGTTTAATTGGTTTTCTGTCTGAATGTTTAATCCCGAACTGCATGAAAGAATATTTTCTCTAGTATGAATAAGAGAGTGTTGATTTAATTCATATTTCCTTGTAAAAGATTTATTACACAAACTACATGAAAATGGTTTCTCTCCAGAATGCTGAAGAAAATGTGAATTTAGATGAGCTCTTTGTTTGAATGCTTTACCACACACATTGCATAAATAAGGTTTATCTCCATTGTGCACAAGATAATGTTGATTTAAACCAGTTTTCCTTGCGAATGCTTTATTACACACACTGCACATATAAGGCTTCTCCCCAGTATGAACACTAGAGTGTTTCTTTAAAGCAGATTTCTGAACAAAAGATTTATCACACAATCCACATGGATAAAGTTTCTCTCCCGAATGAAGAAGAAAATGTGCGTTTAGATGAACTTTTTGACTGAATGTTTTATTACACACACTGCATATATAAGGTTTCTCCCCAGTATGAACTAGAGAGTGTCTATTTAAATGAGTTTTCCTTGCAAATGCCTTATCACACACACCACACATGTAATGTTTTTCACCAGTATGAACAATAAAGTGTCTATTCAAACCTGTTTTCCGAACAAACGATTTATTACACACACTACACGAATAAGGCTTCTCCCCAGTATGTAAAAGATAGTGCTTTTTTAAATCAAATCTCTGTGAGAATGCTTTATCACACACACTGCAAGAATATGGTTTTTCTCCAGTATGAACTCGAGAGTGTTTATTTAAACTAGATGTGCTCACAAAGGATTTACCACATATACCGCATGAAAGAGGTTTCTCTCCAGTATGAACAAGAGGTTTTTCTTCGGTATGAACAAGAGGTTTCTCTTCCGTATGAACAAGAGGTTTTTCTTCGGTATGAACAAAAGGTTTTTCTTCGGTATGAACAAGAGGTTTCTCTTCGGTATGAACAAAAGGTTGTTCATTCAAATAATTTTTAAAGAAAAATTTTTCATCACTTTCATTGAATAAATAAGGTTTCTCTTCAGAGTGGGGATCATAAACTTCATTTAAAAATTCTTTAGATGTGAGAGAATTATCACACATAATGCAAGTATAAAGTTGCCAGCAGTATAAACACCAAAGAGTTTATATAAACTATATTTCCATATGAATGTCTGAAAGGTATACTGTATGAATAAAAGTTAAGTTAAACTACTTTTCCGGGTGAATGATTTGTCAGATCTGCTTCTTGAATAAACTCTCCAGCATAAACAATCTACTGTTCGTTCAAATTTTATTTCCGTGCATATTTATACAAAATGCACTGACAGAAAAAATCTTCCCTACAGTAAAGATGAGAGTGTTTATTAGATGGGATTTTTTGTTCAATATTTTTTACATACACAGTACGAATAAAGCTTCATCAAAGCTTAAAGATGATCATGTATGCTTAAACCCTTTTTTTCTTTCTTAAGAAAAGCATGAATGTTCTTGCTTAATTAAATAACATACTTCAATATGTTAGTTTTATTATTTATTTTGTAAGGAGTCTGTGAGAGTATTAGTAGACACAGTCAGCAATTTCACAGACAAGTTTTAATGTATTTTTTAGCATGGACAGTTAGTGGTCGCATTCATTGCAGCAATCGGATTTTCAACATAACAATGAAATTACATTATCTTTGTTTACATAGAACATAACTTTGATGATAAAACTCTAAAGAAAATTCTAATAGTTATTTATAGCCTATTTCTGCTCACTAATAGACCTATAAAAAATTTCTACTTTAGGCGTCTTTAGCCGGGGGGCATTTGCAACAGCTGTTCACAGAAATCGCTATAAAAAAAAAAGCATAGAAACAACCACCAATGGGTGTTGGGTAAAACCGATCTTCGAGATTAATCCATTCGAATCAGTAATCCAAACTGTATTTATTTCAATGCAAGTTTTTCGAATCATGTGATACAAATCACAAGCTGATTTGAATGCATTGATTCAGCTATCAATTTCATGATAATATTATTATTATAACTATTTTTAACATATCATAAAAATAGCAATAGTTGTTGTTGTAGTTCATTTACGTCGCACTAGAGCTGCACAATGGGCTATTGGCGACGGTCTGGGAAACATCCCTGAGGATGATCCGAAGACATGCCATCAGAATTTTGATCCTCTGCAGTGGGGATGGCACCCCCGCCTCGGTAGCCCGACGACCTGCACGCGAAGTCGAGCACTTTACGGTAGAACAGATTAACGTGTACCAATACCGCACACCCTCGGTCCCTACACAGACTGATCCAAGTGGTCACCCACCCGCACACTGACTGCAGCCAATGATGTTTGACTTCGGTGATCTGTAGCACTACATTATTCAGTTATATCAATACCCGTAAAAAATTATACTATAATAGTAAATATAAAAAAAAAGACGAAATTATATTAATTTTATGAACCAGGCCCTAAACATTTGAAATATTTTTGTGCTATTTTAAATACGAAGATTGACACAAATGACGATGAAAATTTAAATTAAGATTTTTAAGATAAGCTTTTTTTTTCATTCAAATTTCTAAAAAAAGAAAGTATACCAATTTTTAATTCATATTTTCAGTTTGTTCTTTTTTAAAACATATGATGATTACATTTGCATTAATATGAAATGTAAATAATATGACCACATTGATGTTAAGAAATTAATATAACTTGAATGAATTATAATGGAGAATACTAAAACAATTAGGGTTCAGCAAAACAAAACAAAAAACATATGAAAACTCAATATAACTTAAAAACGTAAATTTTATAATCAATAAATCGCTTTCGCGTTTCTATCAATTGAATATTACAATCGAGATTTTGACTTTTTTCAGACTGGCAGGGGGATTCAAGTATCTACCGACAATACCTAATGACATACAAAATTTTGACATATTCTTGAATCGCAAATTTGTTGTCCAAGAAATTTTATCGTCAATCAAAATTTTGACCACTCTCTAGCTAAATCTGATAAATTTGAAGAATTTTAATATTTTCTTGAATCGCGATATATTATTGTCCAAGGAATTTTATCGACAATCAAAATTTTTACCACTTTCTTACCAAATCTGAAGAAGACTTCAGTTCTGATGGTTAATAAAAAGCGGTTCCAATCATTTTCTGAGGGCAGGAAGCAGAATTTATTACATTATTGCTAAAGGAAATTTATCAATTGAAATTTCTGCAACATTCCATTTAGCTGGTGTGCTCAAATTTAATTGGAGTTTAATGCTGGATGGCAATATGAATTTCAATCGTTACCTGACAAAGTTCTTTTAAATTGAGAAATAGAAAAATCGTCAAGCGATATTTTAATCAATTTCCAAATATAGTTAAATTATTGAAAATTCAGTTATAGTTTTGCTTCTAAAATACAAGTTAGAATTTTTTCCAGATCACTGAAAGCTAAATCTAATAATTCTGAATATTAGCTACGTATGAAAATATTTATTCCTATCAATTATAAGTGACAAACCAGTATATCAGTAAATAAATAAAAAAGGGCTAATAATATTTACAGGTTTTTTCCTAAAGCCAACTATGTTAAAATCTCAAAATACTTAAATTTTTTTTATTTAAAATGGTTGCTGGTTGCCGGAGGTTAATAAATGAAATTAGCAAGTTGTTATTTTTTGAACGTTATTACCCATTTTCGCTTGCGTTGTTTATTGAAGTAAATATGAGTAATAACAGCACAAAAATCTGAAGAAAAAAAATTCTTCTTAAATTCCCATTTCAAAAAGTAAACAAATACTATCAAAGTGCAAATCGTAAGCAATCAAACATCTACTGTGGGATTTCAGTGTTGCATTTGGATTGAAGGCGACGACTTTTTTTACTACCTTGCTCGTTAACATTTGGTTTCATTGTGTGAATTACGCAAAGCTCCACCTTTTGTGTGCTGTCTATTAAGGGGTTCAAATTTAACATGCTGGAAAAGCCACATTCATTTGTAATCTTAACTAGAGCTTTTCTCAATATTCAAATTTTTATTTAAAAGTTTATGCAATTTTAAGTGCTTTTATTGTGAATTTTTCTTGCTTGTCTCGCTGTGCATCACATTTTGTTTTGCTGTGCAAAAACTATAAAAACTCACTACAAATCTTTTGAATATACAAATGTTCAGGGAGTACGATAGAATAAAAAGCTAATTGAAATTAGATTATTAGTTTGAGAAATAGCAACTGTTAAACTTGTAATAAAAAAAAAACCCATATTAGTGATCTACAGGAAAGGCCACTTTCATACATGAACTGATCGCAAATTTTTTTTCTACGATGTAATTTGTTTGAAAGTTACTGCAATTTTTAAGTACTTTTGCTATGCTTTTTTTTCCCAATTTTTTTTTGTTTTGCCTTAAATAACATCTATTCATTGTTGCAGAAATATTTCTCTCTGAGATCTTTAGTTTATGACTTGCTTTCAAAAGTAACAAAAATAAGCATTTGTATTATAAAAAAATAGAAGAATATTAGATTTTGTGAGATATAAATCTTCACATTTGTATCCAAATTTTTAAAATGTATTAAAGCACCAATGTAAATAAACTGTTTCCAATTAGAACTGTTATATTAAATAAGGTAATTATTATTCATTGTTAACAAAGAAAAAATAATTTTCATTTATTGCTTGTGTTTGTGTCTTAATTTCTGTATTCCTAAGTTTACTTTTTTTCTTCAAGTATAGTTGATTATTTTTCAAATCTAGGAATACGTTCATTTTGCTACGAATTCAATGTTATCAAAATCTGTCTACAGCAAATTATAAATCTTATAAACAGAATTATCTTTCTTTTTATTGACTATATATAAAAAACAATGATGACTGACAAGCAACCCTGGGGTTTGGTGACAGGAACGAATAGAGGAAGATGCTCTACTCTTAATATTAAAAACAAAACAAAGTTCAATGATAATGACATATTTTTAATAACCTTTACCAGACAATTATTCTAAAATGCGAGATTACTATGATTTTGTTTATTTAAAATTTCAGTATCTCATAACATCTTTTTTTAGGATTTTTGTCTTCTCAAAGAAAATAAATAAGGAGTTTTAACTATTAGCGACATTGAAGTGAGGTGTCTGACCACTGAGCAAGTTTACATACTTAAATTATACTTGTGAGAAAGATTTATATTAAACATTGCATAAATAAATTATCTCTTCTTGTATGAAGAAATTAATATTTTTAGAAAAAATTTTTGGCTTGTGAAAACAAGAAAGAAATTTATTTTGGTAAGAGTAAACATCAATAGAATAGAAGAATAAATAAACAAAAGGAGGTTATGGACACAGGCAGGATATGTGAGAAGAGTGTCAAGAGGGAAATTTACTTCCCTGATAGCAAGAAAAAATTAAAAAGGACTAAAATGAATGGCAAAAACAAATTAAAGTAAATTTTAATAAAGCACAATTTAATGAATTGTATAAAATCACAAACTGAGGGACAGTGAGAAACAGGCTGAATACCTAATGATGTGAAAAACTTAAGTATCTAAGCTTGACATATGCGAAATATTTGCAACGCACACTATGTGAATCATATTTCTCTGCAATATGAACAAGAAAGTGGTTATATAAATCATACTTCTGTATTAAAGATTATACACAATACAAAAATAAGTTTTTCTCCTATATTATGCAGATAAGCTTTTAAGATTAGTTAAACCTAGTTTTTGTCTGAATGTTTTATCACAAACTGAATTAAAAAAGGCTTAGCAAGTACAGTACGTTTACATTTATACATTAGTGAGAATGCCTTATAACCCACATTACATCAATAAGATTTCTCTCAAATATATGAAAAAAATTTTTTTTTTTTATAACAGATTTCTGAGTAAAAATTAAGCTTAATAAGCTTTAAATTGAAGCCTCAAGCCTAGTAGCACAAACACTCCAGCAAAGTAGCATGCGCTGCAGATTATTGCAGACAGAGAAAAATTGCTGGGTGAAAAAATTGAGGACAAGAAAATATGAAAAAAAGATTTTTTTATCTTAATGAAAAATAAAGAAAAGTTTTCCGTTATTTTAAAAATATGGTACGTAAAATTGAAAATATTAATTTTTCAGGTAATTGTTTTATCTGCTCGTAAAATACTAGCAGATAATATGGTATAGACATTGATTTGAATAAACTTTAAATAAGCACAAATCAAAAGACCATAAATTTCAATTCTGATAATTTATTTCTTTAAAATTAAGTGGTTTCATTTTATTAATATCAATTACAATTTTTTTTAATTTTTTTATTTAAGATTTCTTAATTGGGCATCTGTTTTTTCTCCTTGAGAAAGCTCAAGTATCATTGCATAAGACTCGCATTAAATTTAAACATAAAGTTTTTGGGTATAATCATATTACATATACTTCTACACGTTAACAAATAAATGTTCGCAAATTTTGTTACATTAAGCTCAATTTTTAGAATAATCTCTGTTTAAATGTGTTGAGAATCGCAAACAAATTTGAATTATTTAAGACAGTGACGCAGAGTGACTCTGAAAATTTTGTTACTGGGCCCTCAAAAAGAAAGAGAAAAGAATAAAGAAAACAGTTTCAAAGAAAATTGTTCTAAATGAATTTAGTGTGTTTCGAAGCTCTTTCACCAAGGGAAATGAAAAAGACAGGGTTTAAATGTCTTACACTTCAGACAAAATTACCATTTCACTATAAATAAATTACTTGGGCTTCAGACTGGAGGACAGTGAATTTTAATTTTTTATACATTATAAAATTTTTTCAAAATTGCCAATTTGACAAAATTTTTACATTTAAATGAAAATTAATGAATAATTCTCTGTTTTTTAAATTTTTATATAAGTTTTGCATAATGCAGCATTGAAGTAACATTTAAAATAATAGATGCCAAACACTTTTTATCTTCATAAAAATGTGGCTGTTCTTAATGTTGATGTTTTGTGCCTGTTTCAGAATAAGTATAAAAGGCATTAGCTGGAGATCGGCTAAACTTGAGTAAGAACAAGAGTCATAATTTAAATCAGATTTCCATTATAAGGATTTATTACATACACTACATCAATAAAGTTTTTCTCCAGTATGTGAACAAAAAGGGTTTCACTTAAAAAAAAGTTTTTATAGAGAAAGTTTTTTATACACATAAGATTTCTTTTTAATATAAACAAAATATTATTTATTTAAAACAGATATCAAAGCAAAAAATTTATCACACACACATACAGATGAATAAGATTTTTCATTGCATGAAATACTCTCTATCAGTTTGCTGTGAAAAAGTTTTGTCATGATATGCACAAAATAGTGTCTATCAGTTTTCCGGGAGAAAGTTTTATTACTAGTTGAATCAATGAAGTTTTTTTGAGCTATGAACATAAGAATGCCTGGTTAAACTAGATTTCCTCGTGAAAGATTTATCACACAATTTACATGCATAGGGTTTTATTCCTGAATGAAAAAGATAATGTTCCTTCAAGTGAGCTTTTTTACTGTATGCTTTATCACACACACTGCATAAATAAGGTTTCTCCCCGGTATGAACACGAGCATGATCATTTAAACCAGATTTTCTTGTATAAGATTTATTACATAAGCTACATGAATGAGGTTTCTCTCCAGTATGAACAAGAGAATGCTTATTTAAATCAGATTTCTGTGAGAATGTTCTATTACACACACTGCATGAATGTGGTTTTTCGCCCGTATGAACACGGGAGTGTTTAATCAAACTAGATTTTCTTGCAAAAGACTTATCACATACACTACATGAATGAGGTTTCTCTCCAGTATGAACAAGATGATGTAGCGTCAAATCGTATCTCTTCATAAAAGGTTTATTACACAAACTACACAAATAAGGTTTTTCCTCAGTATGTACATTATATTGTCCATTTAAATTAGTTGTTACGGAGAATTTTTCATCATCTACATTAGATGAGTAAGGCTTCTCTTCAGTTTTAACAGCATAATGTTCATTTAAACATTTTTTAGACGTGAGAGATTTCTTCCTCATTTTGCAAAAATAAAACTTTACAACAGTAAAAACAAAATATTGTTTATTTAAGCTATATTTCCATGTGAATGCTTTTTACATGAACTGCATAAATAAAATAGTGCTCATTTAAACTATTTTTCCAAGTGAATGTTATAGTTAACATCAGCAAGAAGAAGAGTTTATTGAAGAGATTTTTCATTCAAGGTCTTATAACATACGGAAAGCAGCATGATACGGGCATATTCCAAACAGGATGAGGATTATGTATGCTTAAACCCTTTATTTTTCCTTATAAACAGCACGAATACATTTGTTTATTTAAATAACAGGCTTCAATATGTGAATGTTATTATATACTTTGCAAGTTACTATACATCATTAGACACTGTCGACAACACCGTATACGGTTATTTAATTATTTATTTTTTAGTATTGACACTTTGTTATTGTATTGATTTCAGCAATCGAGGCAGCAATATAATCAAATCTGTCAATTGTATATGATTACATTAGAGATTACTTACGGATTAATTTCCCTTCTAAAGTTATACAAAGGCTATTTCTGCTTACGGACAGAATCGTCATTAGGAATCGATTGAAATCGTCTTTAGCCGAGAGGTTTTTGTAATACCATCAATTTAAAATAGATGACACTTTACATAAATAACACAGGATTCGCGATCGCAACGAACTATAGGGGGCGTTGTTGTATGAGACTAATACCTGCGATTTCTATATGAACAGTCATTCATTTACTCTAGAGACGTCTTTAATGTAGCGTGTAGCATTGCAACATTCCTTCTTTATCGTGGCTAATTAAATTTAAAAAAGAAAAATGTTTAATATCCTTTCTTATGCAAACAAAATGGTATCTCTTTTTTTTAGAGAAGGAACATCCAAAACACATCGGGAAAATATTTGCACATAAACAGAAAAAAATATGTATATTCTTATAAGAGTTAAAACCTAATAACCGAGAAATAGTTTTACTAAATTTAATGATATAACATGAAAGGCCTATTTAAACTTTACATTCCATAGTTTTAAGAATCATATTACTTCAAAAATTAAAATGAACAAAAAGTATACATAAGCCTCATAATTTTAGGAAATTTAATTTAGCAAAAAAAGTTTTTTGACAACAATTTTTATCAAAAAATTTCAAGTTTCAATAAAAATCATTATTTAGAAACTAAAAAACGTAAAATAAAGAATGCTTACGATACAAAGCAAGAAAGAAAAAACCAATTCTAAAAATTCCTTACATTAAAATAAACAACTTTCGTGTTTTTTCTTTTTTGATTCATAATCGGACGCAGAAAACCATTCTATAGAAAACTATCATCAAATAAGATAAAAACTACTTAAAAGTAAAAATTTTTATTTTATAAAAATTAACACTTACCCAGGGGCGGATCTACTTAAGGGCTTTTTGGGCTGCAGCCCAGGGCCCCGTGGAAACAAAGGGCCCCAGTCCCCACTGAAAACAATAGGTGATATTTTGAATTAAAAAAAATATCTAATATTAAAAAAATAATAATATAAGGTTGGCAACCTTGAGATCAATCATCCCATGCATGTGCGCGTCTATCGAATGGAACGGGGAATTACCCGTCGCTTGTTTTCGGTCAGTGTATTTTTTCGCGTCTATTACGGGGGACTTCCGCAGAGCCGCTTAGCTCCCGCTGTAGTTTTTTTTCCCGCACTTCTGTTCTCGTCGTCAAAGTGACAAACTTGTTTAGTTTATTAATAACTGTCTTGACTACCAGAAACCCTCTGATCCCACTGGAAACTACATTGGTGTTCAGCAAGAGGACGGTAATACCAAGGCGGAAAGAAATTTAGAGAATATTGAGTTTGAGTTTGAGAAATATGTTGACGTGGGCTTGTGGCCAGAATTGCTAAATAATGATTTTATTCTCACATGAACTGACTGACTTTTAAAATAAAGATCCGAAAAATATATATTCAGCTTCAATAAAGAAATACAAGGAACAAAACAGAACATTTTCAAATAGGTATTTCATTAAGAAAATGAAAAATGGTCAATCACTGGAAAGATTTTGGTTATGTTATTCAACCAGGGTTGGTACTGTTTTTTGTTTGACTTGCAAACTTTTTTCTAAATTCCCTTCTCAATACACAACCGGATTTTCTGATTGGAAACACATAGGAACTTGTTTAGAAAATCATGAAAATTCTAATGAACGTAAGAAATCAATGTTAGTGTGGTTGACACGTGAAGGCAACAAGTTAATTGTATCATTAAAAGACTTCGTGAACAACATAAGGCACCAATCAGATCAGAAGCTAAAGGAATACGAAGAGAAAGCCAAAAAATTAAGTACTAGTGTGGGAATAGACTACAATGACATAAACAAGAGAAGCATTACTCCAAAATTTTCAGATAAGTCTACAGATAAATTCTCAGTATACGGCGCAGAAAAATTTAAAAGAGACACGCTAAAGGTTGCGTTGGATAAGCTGACTATGGATTTAAACAAAAGGAGCTAAGTCTATGAGATGTATAGTAAGAAATTCAAATATTTAATGGATTTGCAAGACAAAAATATGGAAAACATTGATCTGGAAAGTGTACGTGATATTGTTGATTATTATCCAGATGACGTAGACGAGCATTTAGTGAATGTGTGCATTCGGTTAAAATCTTATTTAGTTCAATCTAAGCCAGAGTCTTACATTTCTTGCAGTGAAATTTTTATGCTAATTTATGAAACGAAATTTGTTGATGTTTTCCCAAATTGCTACACTATCTTAAGGATTTTTTTAACTTTGCTAATCACTACCTGTGAAGCTGAGCGCTCTTTCTCCAGGATGTCATATATAGAAAACAAATATAGGACAACAATGTCGAACCATCGACTAAATCATTAATCAGTTCTTTCTATAAATGAATCTGAATAGCAATAGCCTGTAATGAGGTTGTCAATGGAATGCTAATGAAAGGTAAGTTATTTGTAGTTAAAATCGCAACACCACCATGTGGTCGGTTGCGATCATCGCAGTCGTTACGGAAACACGAGTAATTACGCAAGTGAAACTTGTCTGATGATTTTAAAAGTGTTTCTTGAAATAAAATACACGTAGGTTGATATCGAGAGACTATCTCTCTGACATCAGTTGATTTATTGCGAATGCCACGACAGTTCCACGAAATAAGCGTAAATGCCATTATGTTGTGGATTGTGAGATTTGCATGATCTCTTGATTAGCCGGAGGACAATCTAAAATGCTTTCTTCGTCTTCAGAGAGATAAATGGACACTTCATAGTCCTCTTCAAGATTTTGTAAAACTCCAGAAGCTGAATTGGCATACTGGAGGTACTTCGGATCTTTTTTCTTTTTCGTTTGTCCAGGACGTTGACGTA